AGAACAGGAGGAGTCTAGAGTGAGTTGCCCTAATTTTTTATTTTGAGACAGGGTCTCAGCCACTAAGCTGCTCATGATCCTCCTGCTTCAGCCTCCCAGAGTGCTGGGATTACCAGCATATGTCACCATACCCACCTAATACTTAATTAATTAGTTGGTAGTGTCTACAGACCTCAAGTTACTGTGTGACATTCTGTGTTGAGTGTGTTAGGAGAGTGCATAGTTGTACAATTTGGTGATTCCTGGGATTTCCTATTAATATCGGGGTGAGTTCCTCACAGCATGAAATCTAGTAACAAACTCCCTGTGTTCTGTAGCATGTTGAGTTGGGTGTGTCCCCTTTCCTGGACCAGCTCACAGAAGCACCCGTGGTAGGAAAGCTGGGCTGATGGAAACGGGGTGTGTGTGTGGGGAGGTGGGGGGCAGAGGAAGAAGCTAATGGAAATGTTTTCTGGCTACCATATGTAAGTCACATCTCTGTCCCAAGGATTTTTCCTCCTCCTGCAAGACTCACTGGCCCTTGGAGGTGACTGTGGAGACAGGAGGGACTTTGGCTACAAAGCCAGCCTTGATTGTCAGCTGACTTCCCTTGTCAGCCACGGAGAGCTCCAGTCAACACCAGCATGAGGCAGGGCTGGACGCATGGGGTATTTAATGCAGCTGGGCTGAGTGGACAGGAAATGAGTTTATGGCTCAGACCTGATCTTCCATGTGGAGCAGCTGCAGGGGTACTATGGGGTACACTGAGAGCAGCTCTTTGTGTTTTCCCTCAGATCAGGAGTCTGTGTAGAACATCATTTTTGAGTTTTTCTCTCCAGTAATATTATTTTTGAAATCATCATTCATTCATTAATATGTTGTCACATTAAGTTTTCTGTGCATTATGATGCTTATTCTATTTTGTACTATTAGATACAAATACTTTTAAAATACTTATTTTTATGAGGAAATTATTTTCTGAAAAAAATAATTTTGTTACTGCTCTCTACCAACAAACTGGAAACAACTTTCCTCCAAATCAACTAACTCATTTAAATATCTCTGCTGAATGGCAACATCTCTGAAAGCCTAGTTTACACAGTTCTATCCTACGAAACACTGTTTTCCACTGTTACATGGTATCAAAGAACATTTTTGTAATAAACATTTTCTCTTTGATACAATTCAGAACAGTTTTCTCATACTCCCCCGCAATCACTCATATACATTAAAAATGTATCCAGTAGTATAATTTAGATGTTTTTCTGGAACTTAAAATTCTTCTAATTTTTAAAAATTTGGACACTTTTAAATGGAGAAGAGCTGAGAGAATGAGTTCATTGTATATGCACCACCTCAGTTGAATAGTTGTTAATGTTTTGTCATGTCTACTTTATCTCCAAGCCTGTACATTTTATCTTTCTCTGAATACTTTGGAAGTACATTACCAAATTAGGAAACCAATCATCTACATATCATGCATCTGAGCATAAAAATAAGACAAGTTTGGTTGTTTGGTTTTGGCCTGATCATGGAGTCCCGTGGTGAGGGAGGTGTGAGGTGGTAGGGGAGCAGCCATGCAAAAGACAGGCCAAGAACAGGGCTGTTAACTGCCTCATACAATCATTCAGTGAAAATGATGTATATGTAAATACCTGCTCCCATATGGCCAGGAGGTAGAGATCTAGTACTATATTTTATTTCATGTCTAATAGATGTTGAGAAAATACAAGAGGGCAAATGGATTGGCAGGGAAACAGCTGAATTTCTGGATCAGTTTTCTTACAGTGTTGGAACTGGCCACCAGGGACAGTTCTGTCCTCAGGAGAATCATGTGCTTAATTTAGGGCAGGAGGAAATCTCAGAATCTCTAGGTGACCCTTCCTTTATTGTGTTTGTGAGGAACTGTGGCTCGGAGACATGCAACTACTTCCCTCGTGGCTCAGGCTGTACTGTAGCATTGCCAAACCCCAGGCCCCTGACCCCCACTCCAGTCCTTTTACTTCTGCCTTCCTCAGCCCAGGTACAGCTCTGTATCTGTACTTCCTGGGAACAGCTGCCTAGAGCTTTGAGCAGTCCTTGTGTGAAGAGCTGAAGATGTGAAACTTAAAAACAAGGCCAGACTCCTGGGCTAGAAGCAACCCTGGGGTGGTGACTCAAGAGGCTCCTAGTGTTATAGGAAGCTTTCTGCTAGTCTTGCTCCACACAGCAGCAGTTTTTCTTTATCTTGTACCCTCCTTCGTGCCTGGGCAAGATCCTTACGGAGCTGCTGGGGGCCTCTTCATGGGCCAGGGAGTATACTACAAATTGTGTGGTCCAGTGTGGCTGCCAACAAGCATTCCTGAGCAGGAGAGGGAAATTGGACAGGGCCAGGAGAATCTTATATAGAGGGAGATCTCCTGAGGATGTATCATGCTTGTTTGGGCTCCCTGCCGAGACTTCTAGGATGACTTGCTTATGGTTCTGTGTGGTAGTCTGAGATACTAACCCTCACTAGTGTTCCTCGAAGGGCCCCAGCTGACCCCCAGCATGTGAGCATTATCTGAGGACACCTGCTGGCCCTCTCCCTCAGCTATTTACATCCCCTAGTGCAGAGCATCCATTCGGGCCAGTGAGTGCTTAAAAATTTCCCAGCAGGGACTTAGCAGAGAGCACCCATGGATGACTGAGATCCCAGTCTCCATCTCTAGGTTCTGGTGGCCAAGTGGCCTTGGAGTTTGCAAAGCCTCCCAGTGGCATTAGGTGGCAGTCCCACCCAGAGGAGTCTCACATGGTTGTAAGGAGTGGAAATTAAGGACTCATTGGCCTGAGGGAACCTCTTTCAATAAAATAAACTCACCAGAAGGTTTTTGTGTTTTTTTCCCAGAAATTCATTTGTTAATTGTTAATTATTGAGCATTTCCCTACTGAAAAGATGTGTGGTGGGGGCTGATCTTAGTCCAAACAATGGCGGGCTGGTTTGTGGATTTTCTAAACATCAGAGGCTTAGAATGACAAAGCGGACCTGGTAGCCAGAATGTCCAAGTTTGAGATTCCTCAGCAAATGGAAGGCAGAGTGAGTATAAAAAACCAGGGCTTTTGATCCACAGACCTCCTTTTCCCTGTGCAATTTGAGCTAGGTGCCATACTGTATTCAGGGGAATCTGAGAGGCTTAGTCTGCAACTATTGGAGGCTTTGGAGGAATCAGAGTGGTTTTCTGGGATCTTAACATTTCTGTAATTAGACTAGTAATGTAGCTCAGTGCCACAGCACCTGCCTAGCAAGCTGGAGGCCCTGAGTTTGATTCCCAGTACAAAAAAAAAAACCCATTTCTGGAATTTGGCAGTGCTAGGATTCTATGTCAACATCATTCTGTGTTTAATTCCTTTTATCTTATCTCATATGGTGTTTGCCAAGAGCTCTGAGGTGAGAAGGGGTCTGAAGTCTCACTGGAGCTCAGAGAAGGCTGGGGATGATCAGTGGTGTCTGCCGTGGGCACAACTAAGAGAACATGAGATGCAGCTTACATGTAAGGTATTTGCCAGCCCTGTACCAAAACCGGAGGCCCCTTGGGGCTGAACTGTAATAGGCTCACTGTGGCTCTCCATTCCCACAGGTGCACTGTAGGTGTAGAATATCTTGGCAGTTCTTGAGGAAGGCCCTGATGTGTGTTCTCCCCGCTGCTGTAGCCCGTCTGTAGCTTGTCACATAGCACTTGGTTGCATTGGACCCATGTGGGGCGGACAGGTGTGTGGGGCTGTGCTGTACCTCATCACTGGGGTCCTCTTCCAGGCCACCTGGGCCACCTACCTGTCTCATCTCTTCACAAGCCTTATAGGAGCTCTCATGTTTTAGGTGTTGGTTGTTTTAGAAAGGAATACTCAGTGGTCAGGAGGAGCTAGGTTGAATTGTGGTTTAGTAGCTCAGCAAGAAAAGCCTTCTGAGGCCATCTGACCATTGCTGAGGTGGCTCCATATTCATGAATAAGGTGCCTTTGGTTAACAGTGATCCCCACAGACTTTCTTCCCCTTCCTCTAGAAAATGTTTTTTTTTTTTTGTACCGGGGATTGAACTCGGGTCCTTGTGCTTGTGAGGCAGGCGGCAGAACAACTGAGCTAAATCCCTGGCCCTAGAAAATGTTAAGTTGTTCCATTCCATCTCTGAATTTGCAGGGTGCTTGCTAGACATGTGCCTGGCACCCTGTTACAGGTGTGCGTCGTTGTTCTCAGTTTTGACCCCCTCCTCAGGCTTTTCCTGGGCCATCTCGAGCTCCTGAGTTTTCTCAGTTGCCTCTTCACAAACAGCAGGTCTGCATGGAAGGAGCACACAAAGGAGCGGCAGAGGAAGGAGGCGGCAGTGGTGGCCATGGGAGAGAGAGGGCGCACCTGCTTTGTTTTAAGACAGGGCCTCACTTTGTAGTTCAGGCTGGCCCTGAACTCCCAATGTAGCCCAGGTTGACTTCAAATTTACAGTGATCCTGCTTCAGCCTCCAGAATGCTGGGACTACAGGTGTGTGCCGCCACACCCGGCTCTTGCAGTTTTCCGAGCTGCAGTCGGAACCTTGTTTAACACTGCTTTTGTTCACTGCTCTACATCTCTTTTGGGGTCTGAATCTTTTGTCTACCACAATATTCTAGCCTAGAGGACGGGGGAGCGGTGTGGGCAGCCTTGTGTCTTCAGGATGGGCTGTGGGGAGAAGCAAGGAATTTCACATCTTCTGAGGAACTTTCAGGGTGAGAAGGGGCTGCTGGAGGTGGCTTTTTGCTTAGTCCAGTGAAGCCGCCAGCCCTCAGTGAAGTCAGCAGCTCTTGGAACCTCTGACTAACTGGCTAACTGGAGGGGGAAGTGTGAGGGAGGCAGCAGCTTCTGAAGGGTGAGGACAGGGAGGCAGCCTCTGGGGGCGGCCGGCCCCGCCCCGCTCCGCTCCGCTGAAGCCTGTGGGACTGCGCCCTTCCCAGGGCGTTGCCCTGACCTGACTGGGAGGGCTGAGCCCCCTACCCGCCTATTTCCCCTCTTCCCAGACCGTGGCTCCTCCCCTTAAAGGAGCCCTTGGGTTGCCCAGGCCTGGCTGGAGCTCAGAAGGAGCGGTGGCTTTAACTGCTTTAACGGTGTCTGCTGTCACTCTCCTGCCCCCGCCCCCGGCCCTAGTGGCTGGAACCTGAGGCCCCACCACTCCGGACCCGGCCTGAGCCTGAGTTGGGCCGAGTTGGAGGCCAGAGCCCGGAAGCAAGCTGGAGTAGGACTCATCTGCCAGTGAGTGAACCCACAGGAGCCACAGGTGACTTACAGGCAGGCAGTTTCTCAGGAAGGTGTCCTGCCCTGCCCTAGCGAGCTGGGGGACTGCTTCCGACCCTGGTGGGAGTGTCCTGGCTCCTTGGCAGCTAGGAGTGATGGGCCCCTCTGGGCCTGAGGAACCTATTTGGACAGTTTTGATCAAGTTGTGGCCATCTCCTGTCCCCTGTCAGATCGCAGGACCCAGGCTGCATGAGCTCACTTCCTCCTCATTCTGTAACATCCTCTGCTTGCAGCGGTGATGGGAAGTGAGGCAAATGCCAGGAAGTGCTGGTCTAGCACAGCCTGCTGCCCTGGGCTCCCTCGTGAGCCTTTCCTCCGTGCTGCTTCAGGGTCTTGGGGACCTGGCACTTGAGGGAGAGGGAAGTTGTCCTTTTCATCTGGAGACCCAGAGGTCCAGATTTGTCTTGCTCCATGTCACCATCTGAGGGCTGGGAGCAGGTGGCACACAGCATCTCCGTAGTGTTCCCCACAGGTGCCAGAACTTCCTTTTTCTTTGGGAGACTGAAAAAGGCCCAGTCAAGTTTAGTCTGTCATCCGCACCCCCTTATCTGAACCCCCTGGACCACTGATTTGATGATAGGCACCTCTGGGTCCCTCTCTGTGACCCCCCTTACCCACAGGTCCCAGGATGACTCAACTATTTTGTCAAGGGAGAGTGCATTTTCTGTTCCCCTACTTGTGAAGTTTTATCCACTCCAAGCCCTGGAAATGTGAGGGAGGAGGGGTTGGTCACCCCACTGGGTACAGCTGCTGGGTGGCCCTGCCTTGGGGGAGCTGGGGAGGAAGTGGTCCTAGCCCAGCAGAGTGGGGTGAGGACTGCGTGGAAAGAGACAGTAGACATTTGATCTGGGGCACCAGAAGCTTGTGCCTAGGCTTCAGGAGGGTGACCCTGGCACTCAGGAAGATTTATACCAGGCGGTAGGAGTCGATTCTTGGGGTATCTCTGGCTGGACACCCAGAGCTGTAAGGCTCTATGTAGTCAGGGAGAGCTTGTTGTGGGGCTGAGGGGAGGAGGGGCTGACTTGGCACTCCCATCCTCACTGCCTGCTGCTCCATCTTTGGCCTCCAACCGGAATCCACCAGTCAGAGCTAACCAGGTCAGGAACAGAGCATATGTACACACCCTACACACTGCCCATGCCCCGATCCCACACGCTCTCACCCATGCCCATTTAGGCCCATAGTAACGGCCAGCTGGCCTTCCATTCATTCAACTTCAGTTAGAATGCTCCATTTCTGTGGGAGTCCCAGTGGGGGACACTGGGGGAAGGTTGTGCTGTTCTGGTATGAGCCACCACAGCAACATATCATGAAGAGCTGACCCTCACCCACATGTTCCACTGCTTCCTGTTTATAGGGGCAGCACTGCCCCTGTGGTTTGGGCAACCCTTTCAGAACTCACACCTAAGCCCCTACCTTTCCTCTTCCCAGGGGCAGGAAACCTCTGCCCTTCCAGAGGGTGGATTTGCTTTTTTGGAAAGTGAGGTGAGGCACTGGGAACTAGGGTGGAAATGAGGCTTTCTGGGCAGCTTTGGTCTGAACCTCAAGGGAAGGGGAAATTTCCCAGACGAAGAAACAGACCCAGAGAGCACCTATGACTTGCCAAGCCTTCCCCAGCTCTTGGGGCAGGGTTGAAGAAGGGCAGAATTGGAGTGACCAAATTGTTGCCCACCACAAAGTCCTCTAGGTTCTGGGTTCTAGGTGACTGGCCCCAAGGTCATGGGATAGCTTTAAAGTCCCATTGGTCACAGAAACTCACCACAGAATGTGCTTGACTCTCAGAAGGGAAAGAAGATGTCAGCGTCCCCACTGCACCCAACTTCACATCCCCCTCTTTGCATGTTCCTCAGTCAGGGCCTGAGTACTCAAGGGCCAAGGAGGGTAAAATCTCTGACTTTGAGTCCAAGGGCTGTCACAGGTAGAGGGCAAGTAGGCTCTGAATGAGGAGGCTGGAAGCACTGCTGGCCAAGGAGCAGCTCTGCCTGAGAGATGAGGCAGAGACTGCAGGGGCTCCTTCCCTTCCTTTCTGCAGCTCTGAGGTGGTGCTCAGCCTTCAGGGCCTGTGGATGGTGTTTGTGGGGAACCTGGACACCTTGCTCTCAGTGTCCCATTTTAGAAGAGGGAGAACAGTGATAATGACAAGGACCTGTGCCTGCCCCTGCCTTCCCTGTGGGCAAGTACAGTTGGGTGATCCAGCTTCTCAGGGCAGTTCTGTCTCTCTACCGAAGCAGCTCCTTAGGCTGGGCCCCTTGAGCTTCCACTGTGGAGGCAGGAGGAGTACTGGCCATCGAGTCCTGGTGGGCCATCTAGTCTGCCAGATCTATGGCACCAAAGGCCTCTGGTCTTCAGCAGGGCCAAACCTGGACAGGCAGGGCCATGAGAGAATGAAGTGCCATAGTTCCCATAGGAGTCTCCTCTGAAAACCTGTATGTTTTGGCCAAGCTGGTTTTGTGGGCTCCTGCTTGATAATTCAGTGTTATTGTAGTTAGTGTCCAACATGGTAGAATAGTAAAGAAAACCTGGCGAGGCTGGGGGTCCCAGAGTCCCCTCCTCTTGTCCCATCCCACAAGGCCATGCTTCCCTCCCCAAGAATCCTGGTGCAAGCTCAGCTCCTCTGCTCCCAGTCTGTGCTTTGCAGAGCAGAGAAAGAGCCTCCCTCCGTGGAGCTAGGCACCAGGTCCATCCTGACTGCCCAACCTCCCTCAGGTCTGTTTCCCTGGCCACTGGGGAGTCTGAGGAGCCAGGGAAGGCGGTTGTGCACTCCATACATAGGCAGAATGGAGTAACCTGATCCTTGCAAATCATTGCATGGATAGTGATGTTAAAGTTGGGACCTCTTGCTCTGTCACAGTGTGTTAGCAGTACCAGCTGGTGCTTCCATGGATCTATCTGCCTTAGCTAGCAGCTCTTTCTTCATCCAAAGATAGTGATATGCGCCTGCTCCCTTCCCAGACTGTGGCTGCAATTGGAGGCCAGGTGGAGAGGAATCACAGCGTATGTCAGCAGCCCACATCCTTCCCTGTCATCTTGTGTCAGCCCACCCCTCCACACCACCGAAACCTTGACTGCTCTGGGCTGAGACAGCAACAGCTGTGGAATATTTGTTCTTCTCCCCATTATCTATGCAGTGGGAAGGCCTTGTCCAGGCAGGATAGTTCCTGCACATGGATGGCCAGGGAGGATCCCAGCCAAAGTGCTTTTCTGAAGCAAAGATGGAAAAAGCAGAGCAGAATGGTTTTGGCTTCAGTACTAGCCTCTTCCCAGGGCCAGGCTGGATTTTCCTGAGGCTACCCAGTGCACAGCTTCTGAGGAGGCCAAGATGGGGTCAGAGGTAGGTATCAGGGGCTCTCAGGCTAGAAGAGAGCTGGAACAGACCTGATGGCTAGGTTCTGACCAAGGTACCTTGTTTGACAGCCAGCTACTTTCATTCTTCAGATACTACTTTGTAACCTGAATCGAAAATGGGTCAGGTCCTGGTGAGGGAGGGGCCACTAGCCTGGAGCACAGGGCTCAGATTCCCACCTTCTTTCACTGGGTTCTTTCAGAGCCCATTGGCGCCTGGAGGCCCTGGCAATGTCTGGTTCTCCTCCTTGCCATTCTCTAGAGTGTGTGGCCCCAGGGCCTCTTCCACCTTCTGAATTAAGGGAGTGGATGAGCCGGGCACTGTGGCTCAGCCTGGGGCAGCAGAGACCAGGCAGGTGGCCAAGCAGAGTGGGCCGAGTGTAGGAGCTTCTGCCCTGGGCTGCAAGCCTGAGTGGGTGACTTGAGCTGGAAGCCTGAGCAAGTGTGTGACCAGTGCCTGTCTGTTTGCAATAGCCTTGACCATCCTAACCTGTGTCCTGTGAGCAGCAGAGACTGAGTCAAGCCGGGAAGCACCAGCCATCAGTGCCCCTTGAGAAGTGACAGCACAGGAGATCCTCCAGCAAGGGGGGGAAGGGGAGGAAGGAAGGAAAAACAAAGGCGAGTGAGCGAGCGCAGGAGCCTTTGCGCCGCCTCCCTGTGCGCCTGCCTACGATGTGTCAGTCAGAGGCGCGGCGAGGACCAGAGCTCCGAGCAGCAGCGAAATGGTGAGATGCTGCCCACCACCACGTCCTAACCCTACCGTGCCCCGCCACAGCCTCCGGAAGGTCAGAGTTCATGTCCACCGGCTTCGCAGTGGAGGTAGCAGTGGGTGGCCTGGGGGTCAGCCCACAAGGCTGGAAGGGCCTGGCGAGGGAGGCCTGAGTGCCCTCAGTAGGAGAGCCCGCTTCAGGTACTTGGGCCTCAAGGAGGGATCAGTGCGGGAAGGTTGGCCTTTAGATGGGGTTTCCAGGTCCCCTTTTTCCCTGTCCAGACTGCTGCTTCAGGCAGCCTAGAAGAGGGGCTGCCGTGGCTCTTCTAGGATTGGTCTCTGCTATTCTGCAGTAAGCAGAGCGGAGAAACCTCTGAGGGAGAGCAGTGATTTGTTTGTCTTTGCTTGGTCCCTGCCACCTCCCCAAACCTTTTAAAAACATAATAGACTGGGATGCTCAGAGAAACAGAAGGAAAGCAGGGCATCTGGTGAGCCATGGGGATACAGCCTCCTGCAGAGCAGAACCCCACCTTCCTCTGCAATCTGACTGCAGGGCTGCCGATGGCTCCCTCTCCATTTGTTCAGCTTTTAACTCTGCCAAGAGGCCCCTTTGTTCCTTGGTTTCCCCAGCACTTGGGGAGCAGGGGACTCTCCTGAATGTCCAGCTAAATGCAGTCATTTTGCAGAATACAAAGCTGAGGCCTGAGGACATTCTATGAGTGGGTGGCAATATAGTTTTCTGATGGGTACACTGAGGCCTTGGGAGTATTTTTGAGGGCCTAGGCATGTGACAAGAGGATTTTGTTGCTGTTCAGGGCCCCAGCTTCTGCAACTCCCAGGAAGCTTGAGGCTGTGCTGAATGCCCCAGTTTGCACTGGGGGAGTTGGGTAGAGGACCACCTACATTGTTGAAAGGAGGAGCCTGGGGTCATGTTATGTGGTGGTGGGGGGGAACAGGGTGGCATGACTGGGGAGGGCGTTCCCCTCACAAACCTATGGATGAATTTTAGAGAACTTGTCCTGCTGCAGAAAGACCAGGCAGGTAGGACAGAGCTATAGCTTCAGGGGTGTATGAGTGTGCATGCATACGTGTGAGTGTGCATGTGTTTGCATACTCCTTGAGATCTTATCTGGCCCTGTCCTTTAATTTAGCAGAGAAGGAAGCAAAAGTGCTGGAGCCCATGAAGAGATTTTCTCAGGTCCTGCAATGGGATGGGGACAAGACTCAGCAAGCACTCACCTAACTGACCAGGTCATAGCACCATGGTACTGTGGATTGCTGTGCTCTTTGGACTCCGGTCCTGGTACCTGTGTGGCAGAGCTATCTTCTCTACTCTCTCTGGCCATGGGAGGCTGAGGGTATAAGCCAGGCCCTCCACCTTGTCTTCCTTGTTCTGGGACCACAAAGCCCTTGCCGGGCGGGCCTCTCCCATACTCAGAAGGTGCTCTGTGAAGTGCCCAGGACTTGGGCCTAAACTTCTCTGTCCTGCTGCCCCCCTCCCCCCCGATTCCCAGTTCTCCTCAGCCAGCTGGGAGGTAGGAGCGACTAGGAAATGAGTCAGCCAAGTCCCTTACTCAGAATAGGGTTGGGACAAGGGGGTGCCGCAGCACTTACTGGGCTCTAGTACTCCATTGGAGAGCCAGCTTGCTGAGGGTGGGGACTGGAATGGCAGTGGTCAAGATGGGGTGTTCCTGGGTTCCTCTAAGACCCCAGCCCCTGACCTTGGCTTATGCCCTACAGGTTGCACTTTCCCCAGCTGGCCCTGCGGCGGAGGCTGGGCCAGCTGAGCTGTATGTCCAGACCTGCCCTGAAACTTCGCTCCTGGCCCCTGACTGTCCTCTACTACCTCCTACCCTTTGGCGCCCTCCGGCCACTCAGCCGGGTTGGATGGCGGCCTGTAAGCAGGGTAAGTGTGCATATAGGCCTCAGTAGCCCCAACCCTGCCCTATGCAGGCCTGAGGGTGGGACAGGGGAGACCAAGAAAGGGACTAGTCAGAAGGAGAGGCAGTGGCTTCATTGATGGGTGGCTGGGTTAGAAGCATTAATGGCTGGGAAGGCCAAGGGAGCTTTTGTGGCCAGGTACATTAGTGTCCATGTGGACTCAGTGTTCAGTGTCCCTCCTTTGCTCTTTGCCTTCCTCACTGGTGCCATAGGGGGCTCTGCTTCTGGAAGGAACTTAGACTGGGCAATCAGAAAGTGGTGACTGTGTTCAGGCAGAAGAGAGCTTAGAGGCAATTTTGAGAAGAATCCAAATAAATACCTGGATGCCAGAGAATAGTTCAGTAACGAGACCTTTAGTATGAGGACATCCTTGAGGAACCAGGCTGCACAGGTGCCTGCCCTGGGAGCATCCAGCTAGCAAGTCCCTGGAAGGTTCTCTCTTGCCCTCAGCTCCCAGGCAGGCCAACCCCAAGGAGGAAACCTTGGTTCTGGGCCCTTAGAACCAGGATGGGTATCACAAGAGCTTAAGGACTGACTCTAAGGTGCACTGGACATTAGAGCAGATGCCAGCTGGTTGCCAAGCATGGCCTGGGGCAGTGGTAGTGAACCTATGACCCAAGTGCTGCAGCTTTCTGTTGTCACTGAAAGCTCTAAAGGGTTCGCCATCACTGCCCTAGGGTCACACAGTAGCCCTGGGCCACTCTAGGTGGTTAGGCATCAGCTGGAAGGTGTAAGAATACTCTGTGAGCCACTAACTTAGTACCTCACAGTGGTATACAAAGTTGTGAAATGACTTGTACATCTTGGGGAGTTGGTACTTGGTTGTGTTCAGACAAGCAGCAGCGCCAGTCAGAGGCAGTTCCCACTAGGCAGTGGCACCTGTTGTTTAAGAGGCTGCCTAGCTCTTCAGGAGAGCTCTGGGACCCCAAGTGGGACTGGTACCTGTCCCCAGGTGCTCCAGGCTGGACCCCCAGAGGGCACTTCCCCTTGTCTCCAGGGAGAGCCCTGGGTACAGGCTGCTTCATTTACTGGCTCAGGTACAGGATGTCTCTGAGGGCCAGCCTTACTGCTGGCCTTATGAATGGGAGCTGCCTCCATGGGCTTCACATAGAAGCCCCAGCTTCTTGGTGTCTGAGGACCAGGCTCCGGGCTGGGGTGATTGAGGCCAGGAGTTGACAGCTTTAGCCTGGCTGGCCTGGGGAGCTCTATATTTGGACTGACACTGAGACAGTAGGTCATGAGCCCCTCTGCATCTTGGGCCGTCCTGGAGTAGACACACAGCTCTGGACAGCAAGTGGCATGTTTCTTATCCCCACAGTCTCCTTGATGTCAGCCCTCTAAGTGCTGGCTAGATCTTCAGGGCATCTTGGGCCCGGAAGACATGGATATGGCAGATCTGCATCTAAAAATGTCCTCCTTGCTTCTGTGAAGAAAGGATGGTGTCCACTTTGGACAGTAGATAGACCTGTCCCATGCCCCTAGGAGCCTCCTGCTCCTTTCTTGAGTGGTCTGGGTTGTGAGCAACCCAGGCCAAGGACAGCATGCCCACTGCCTCCTGCTGCAGTCTTTCTCAGGCTAGTACCAGGTCCATTTATGATGTCCTTTTTTCAAGCAGTTAACACTGTTTGGGCCCATCTCCTCTGCTGGTATTAGGGCAGTTGCTCTTTGACCTTTTCATGAAATGAATAAAATGACCTGATCTGTGTGAACATCTAATCCTCAGGATGAGAGTGGCAAGTGCAGTCTGGTTCCTAGTGAGAAACAGCCACATCACAAAAGCAGCTTGGGGGCTGGGGATTTAGCTCAGTGGTTCTGCTGCCTGCCTCGCAAGCACGCAAGGTCCCAAGTTTGATCCCCGGTACCAAAAACAAAAAGAAAAACAAAAAAAACAAAAGCAGCTTGGGGCACCTAGGCCTCTGTTGGTTTTTCTTTCTTGTGCTGGGGGCTGGGCTGGGCTGACAACTACACTCAGGCTCTTCAGAGTTCGGCCAACTCAGCCTCTTGCCCTGTGGCCTACAGGTGGCCCTGTATAAGTCAGTGCCAACACGTTTGCTGTCACGGGCCTGGGGTCGCCTCAACCAGGTGGAGCTGCCGCACTGGCTACGCCGTCCTGTCTACAGCCTATACATCTGGACCTTTGGAGTGAACATGAAGGAGGCTGCTGTGGAGGACCTGCACCACTACCGCAACCTCAGCGAGTTCTTCCGGCGCAAACTAAAGCCACAGGCCCGGCCTGTCTGTGGCCTGCACAGTGTGGTGAGGCCCACCTCCTGCTTCTGTTCTTCTGGAAATGGGAGTTTTGCCTGTGCTTGTGAACCAAGCCTAGCAGTCCCGACTGTCTGTAGTCCCTATGGGTGGCTTTCCCAACTCTGTCCAGCATGTCCAGGGAGGTGGGGCTCTGAGTACTTGGCAGATAAGGTGTGGGCCACCTAGAGGGAGGACCTCTTGTCTTGATATCAAGCCTCTCCTTGCCCTTCCAGATCAGCCCATCGGATGGGAAGATCCTCAACTTTGGGCAGGTGAAGAACTGTGAGGTTGAGCAAGTGAAGGGGGTCACCTACTCGTTGGAGTCATTCCTGGGCCCTCGAACCTACACAGAGGACCTACCCTTCCCACCAGGTGGGTCATTGCCTAGTCAGGGCTGGGGCTGGCACTGACACCAAAGGTTGACGAAGGGAAGGAGGAAAGACTGGGAGGCTGTGGGATGGCAGGCTGGCACTCTGGGGTGGTAGGACCAGGAAGCACTCGGAAGCCTTGGGACTTTCCTCAGAGGTTGTCCAGGCTCCATGCTGGATGCTCACCATGTTACATGGGCTGGATAGCACTCAGAGCTTGAGAGCTTGCTCTTTTTTGGTCTATCCCACAGCCTCCTCGTGTGACTTCAGAAACCAGTTGGTCACCCAGGAAGGGAACGAGCTCTACCATTGTGTCATCTACCTAGCCCCTGGGGACTACCACTGCTTCCACTCCCCCACTGACTGGACTGTCTCCCACCGGCGCCACTTCCCAGGTAGGCCAAGGGATGGCGTATGGATAGGAGCTGCCTCCATGGACTTTAGAGACCTCACTGTCTTGGTGGCAGGGGACCAAGCTCCAGGCTGGGGTGGTTGAGGCTAGGAATGGACAGCTTTAGGCTGGCTGGGCCGGGGAGCTCTGAATTTGGACACCAGGGCAACCGGCCATGAGCCTCTCTGGGTTTTGGGCCATGGCTCTGGACAGCAAGTGGCATGTTTCTTGTCTCCATAGGCTCCTTGATGTCAGTGAACCCTGGAATGGCCCGCTGGATCAAAGAGCTTTTTTGCCACAATGAACGGGTAGTCCTGTCAGGGGACTGGAAACATGGCTTCTTTTCATTAACAGCTGTGGGGGCCACCAATGTGGGCTCTATTCGTATCTACTTTGACCGGGTAAGTAGAACCTAGGCCATGCTAAAGCCCTGAGACTGGTTTTCCTGGGTCCACCTGTCCCGTCTGCTATGCACCTGATCTGTTGGGCCTGTGAGTTCTGGAAGGGTCTCTATCCTGGAAAAACCTGGCTGTGCTGAGCTGCTGCTCTGGGAGCTGCCCCTGCCAGCTGAGGCCTTCCTTCTCCTCTGCCCCTCTCCTGTCTGGAGGTAGCTGAGAATTCACTTCCCTGCTTGGCATCTTGCCTCTGCCAGACGCTGTGATCAAAGGCAAGAGTAAGGAGGGACTAGGAGGAATACTGAGCTTGGGGTGGGTTGTGCAGACTGAAGGCCAGAGCATGTGAGCAAGTGCCCACTTGCCTAAAGCTGGCTTGTACAAGTTGAGAATCTGGTGCCTTTTGGGTGTAATTCTGGGACCGCCTGCCTCTGGCTGCTGAGGGTGCTGGGAAAGGAGTTGCATCTGATTTCTCTTCCTCAGATGCTATCCCCACCACCCATTCTGAGCTGGTTGAGGGGGTACTGGGTACAAGCAACAGGACTCCAAATGCAGGTAGGCGTGGCCTAAGCCCCCAGACTAAGCTACTTCTAACTCCTATTCCCCTCCCCCAGGACCTGCACACCAACAGTCCAAGGTACAGCAAAGGCTCCTACAATGACTTCAGCTTTGTGACACATGCCAACAAGGACGGTGTCCCCATGCGCAAGGGTGAGCACCTGGGCGAGTTCAACCTGGGCTCCACCATTGTGCTCATCTTCGAGGCCCCCAAGGACTTCAATTTCAGGCTGAAAGCAGGGCAGAAGATCCGCTTTGGGGAGGCTCTAGGCTCCCTCTAGGGCCTCTTTCTGGGTGTGGCTGCCGAGGGAATCTTTCTACACAGGAGCATGAGGGTCTTTTAGAAAGGCCCCTGAGGGTGTCCAGGTGAGCACCACCGAGCCATGGGGGGCTTCACTTGGTAGGACCTGAATGATTTGCTCCTGCCTGTCCCAGAGATGCAGACAAAAGGTTCTGGCTCCTTTTCATAAGACAGCCAGAGCCCATGTTATGCCCTAGGCCTACCCTACAAAGAAACCATGTCAGGGGGAATGACCTGAGTCACTTGTGGATCTTTTTTAATATTGTGTAAACTGAAGACCCCACATCTCCTGGCTGAGTGTCCAGCTGGTCTCGGATACTGTTTGAAGATGCTAAGTGCTAAACATGCCCTGTAGCTGCTCCTCCCATCACTGGGCAGTTTCCTGTCAGCCCCGTGTCCTTTTTCTGTCCTTGTCCTGTGGCCTCCCCATGGTAAGGCACCTCCCTGGTAAGGACTGTGGACCCACCCTCCCCTCAGAGCACGTGGCCTTATGACAGTTGCCTTTTGTTCCCATACTTGCCTCACCCTGCTTGTTGGAAAAGCAGAATTTTTTTCTTTTTTTGGTACCGGGGATCAAACTCTTGTCCTTGCGCTTGCAGGGCAGGCAGAGGAACCACTGAGCTAAATCGCTGGCCCAAAAGCAGAATCTTTCTTCTTTGCATCTTTGGCTGCATGCATTGCCTTGGACTTTGCCCGTGTTTTCTGAGGATGATGACTAATGATGTGAACCTTTAGACCCTGAGAGTGACTTTCCAGAGCTGGCTGAGTCCTCTTTGCAGCAGGCAAAACCATTTACTGTCCCATTTGGAGGCGGCCAGAATGAATAAGGCAGCCAACAAGTGAGGGCCTAGCTCAGGAACAGGGTGGGGGAGATTGCTGCTCTGTTGGAGGCAAAAGAGCCTTGATGGTGGGTCAGTGCCTAGGAAAATCTGTCCCAGGTGACAGGTATGCAGGGCCTGGGGAGCATACTGGTGGGGACAAGGCTAGGTTTTGTGTTGATCCTGGGAATGCTGTGAATTTCTCCTGCAGGAGGAGTCATTGAACTTTTTCAACTGTATCAGTAGCACAGTATTTTTGTATGAAAAGCGGGAGATTTCTGAACAGTAATTCATTTAATTGCAAGGCATTTTGAAATAATAAAAACCCACAAAACTCATGGTAACGTCATTTTATGTTCCTGGAGGTGGTCTGAAGCCTACCCTGCAACACAGCACCTGTCTACGCATTAGCACAGAACCTGCCGTAAGGCCTGGATGCGTGCTATGCAGGAATGGATGGGCTGGCGCTGGGCCTGAAGATCCTTGGCCAGCTGCTGGATCTGCAGTTCCACCTGGGGGTAGGGGAGGGACAGGCTGAATGGAAAGGATGCACACGCGAGGGAGCTGTCCTTGGGATAGCCTGAGGTCTTACTTCCTCCAGCTCTTTCTGTATCTGCCGCTCTGTATCCTGGTCCTCAGCCCTAGGGTCCTCCTGGCTCAGCTCCAGCCATTTTCGTAAGTTGCTTGCTTGTCGCTGGCAGGACCTGAGGGTGGGGACACCTGCTGCCTGTCAGGTTGGGTTCTTGGCAGAGCCTTAAAGTAGTCTCTCTGGCTCAGGGAGAAGCAAAGCAGCTAATTTTCATGTGGGGATGGGGTGAAGAAAGGTCTGGAAGGTCCCCTGCCCTACAATGTAGGACCTGGCTTGTGTGACTCCCAGCCTCCCCATCTTCACCAGTAAATACGTGAAATCACCCCTCCTCTCTTTGCAGAGCTGGGAATGAGGGGACCAGTCTTTGCCCCGAATCTCTAGGACTACTACATGTTGATGGCTGTCAGACTACTGGGTACGGCTAGGGTATAGGCCTGTCCTAATCATACACTTCACCTGTGTTACAATCATAGTCACTGGGTAGACAAGAGGACCCAATTGTTTAGTGTCATCATCCCCCATCAAAGGTAGGGCCCCACATCCCAGGGGAGGCCAACTTGGGCCTTCCTAATAAGCAGGACTAGGAGGGTAAAGGTTGCCACAGTGCAGAGGGGATGCTCCACACAGCACACACTACACCTCACTCCCACCTCAGGTAAGCCAGGCCCAGGGAAATGGAACCTCCTGCCTTCCTAGGCCCACATCTGCTCCTGTAGACAGGCCAAGGGCATGTTCTAGGCCTCACCAGAGGTCCTTCCTGGTGGTCTGGTACTGCTGTAATTGCTGCTGGATCCCCTCGAGCTCGACCTCAAGGTCCACGTGGCCTGTGGCAACAGGAGAAGGAGGAGCTTAACTTGACCATCTTCCCCTCTGGAACCAGGATGAGTATCAAGTCCAAGATGCAGGACTGGGGTGAGTGGTGCCTTGTGAGGCCCCAAGTACTCACTTGCAGCTTCAGAGCTAAGATCAGGCCTGGCCCTGGTGCCTGTGAAGTCCTCAGGCAGGAGCAAATGAGGGTCAGGGCCACAGGTCAGAATTGGGGGGACCTTGGGTTTAGGCCCCGGGGTGGTGGGCTGTGCTGACATCTGTAAAGGAAGGTGGATGCTTAGAAGGGAAGACAGGATACCTGAGAAGGGACTAAAGTCCCTGTCCCTCTGTCTCACTGCCTGTTGCCCACTGTGCTCTGCAGGGGGAGGGGATGAGTGAGCCCCCAGCTGTAGGAGCAGGAAATCCCAGGTTCTCCCGTCCTAACCAGCTCACCCAGTAACCCAGCACCACTGGCAAAATCCCACAGACAACCTCCACAGCACCATCCCCTGTGCCAGGGGGCTTATTAGCACTGTCCCCGGCAGCTGTGTTAAGACTTTGTTTTTGGTACCAGGGATTGAACTGGAGATCTTGTGCCTGCGCAGCAGGTGGCGAAACCACTGAGCTAAATCCCAGGCCCTGTGTCAAGTCTTAATCAGCCTCTCACCTCCACCTTGCTCAGAGCTCATGGCCTGTGAGCTTGGTTACCAGTGAGAATAATGGTCAGAAGCAGTTGTTCCTCCTGTCCCACCACACCTGCAGCCTTTCTCTACACCCTCCCATGTCCCCTCCTCTCCTGGGGAGTGGACTTGCCCCTTCTATGACCACTCCACTCCTGTCACTCCCAGTAGCAAGAAAAAACAAAAACACCCTCCTGACCCTATAGCCCATTCCAGCCAGGTGGTGGTGGCCCTCCATGGCCACACTCAGGAAGCAACTGGCTCTCTGTCCTCATGCCACTCCCTTCAGGTACCACTTTCTTGGGTGGCCTCAGCCCTTGGCCACCCCTGCCAGGATCCCTCTGCATCAGTCTGTTGTCCCTCTATGTTCTTGTCCTGGGTGACCTCAGCAGCTCCCAGGGGTTCACCAAACCTGAGGACTCCAGCCCGGAACTCCTCTCTGAAGGCCAATCTCAGTGCTGGTTTTTTTTTCCTTCAAATCTTACAGGGTCAAAAGAAACGCTCAGTGTTTCACTCTAAACCAGGCCCTACCCCACTTTGCTATTTTCAGTAAAAACTCATCCTACCCGGGCTACTCAGGGCAGGGCCCTAAGCATCATCCTGGAGTCCTTTTTCCATAACCTAGTCTGCCTCCAAGAGGCTCTGTTCAACTCAGAGCGAATGGCTGCAGTGTTGAGGCCACTATGGCAGCACCTTTTGTCTGCATCATGTGGCTCACAGCTGCCCAACCACCTGGCACTGGCACTGTTAAGAGACCAGGAGGGGTGCTGCTGCTAGAGTCCTTCAATAGCTTCCTCCTCTTTCCCATTCCACATGTTCCACCATGGCCTGCCTGACCCACTCTGTGGATTTACACACAGCCTTCTGTCCTGGCATGAGGACAGAAGCTTCTTGGTGTCCCTCAGATCTGATGTGCAGAGGCACGTACATTTACTGAGTGAATGAGGCCCCCTGTGTCTTCCCATGCCAAGGTGTTCCAGAAACAATGGGTATAGCTGTGGTTATAGGGCAAGGGCAATGAGGAAGGTCAGAACAAAGAATGGGAGTTGCTGATTGGTCCTGGGGGTAGAGGACTTACCCAGGCTGGTGCTCCAGCCCTGAGAGGCACGAAGGAGGAAGGAGGCAGTAGTTCTGGGCTTGGGCTTGGACTTGCCACAGAGGGTAGCTTTGGGCCAGGAACATTTGGCAGGGCCCCAGTCAGGAAGGATCTGGTCAGAGAATGGCCTGCTGGCCAGGCCAGGCCTTGGCCCTGTTCCTGAGGCTTCTCTGGCCTGAGAGAGGGAAGGCAAGAGGACAGACAAGCTGTGGAACCCTTCTCTCCGCTGAAGATCAGGAAGGAAAGAGGGCCACCAAAATACAGGCCCCAGGTGGAGGTGTCCTGTCTGGGGGGCATGACCACATAACCTACCCATGCCCCTTGAGGGTGCCACACCCTGGAGACCTCTGGGTTTGCATGGGCTTCAGCAGAAAATGTGGGCATCTTGGCTGCTTCCTTGCTGAGCGGGTATTGCTGGGAAGAAACACAGGGTCTATTCTTCTAGCTGATGGGGGAGCAGCGGGCCTGAGACCTTTGTAGGGTCCAACCCTTCCAGTTTTATAGGAAGACTGAAGGTCAGACAAGGCATGGCTCCTGTTCAAGGTCAAGTATATAGGGTGGATATGGGCCTACAGAACTTCAGCAATCCCAGTGAAGGTTGCCTGATACGGGTGCCTCACCCATGGGTATTTTGACCCTGGAGACATGGTTGTTCCCTAACATATCACAGGGGATGAGCTCTGAGACATTCAGGCTCTTGCCAAGGACATGGAAGGGACACAGCAGAGTCAGGGTCCCAGGCCTGGTGGTCCTCTCCCTCTCCCCAGCCTGGTCCCTGGTCAGGCCTGAGGCTCTCTGGCAGCAGTGGTCATTCCAGGAGTTATCAACTGCCCTGACAAGGGAAACATGGGTGAAGGGTTTGGGGACACCATCCAGGGAGGTAGAAGAAGCAGGTGCCAGGTCTCAAAAGATGGGGTCTCTGAGAGGGAGTCAGTGTTTTGGCTGCCAAAAAAACCGAGGTGAGACTGGCAGGCCTGGGGTCCCTGCCCAACAACCTGTTGTGTGTCACAGGACAGGGGAGGGCCAGGAGGATGTTGCAGGGAAAGGGACACCTATTTCCTAAGAAAAGCAAGAGTCTGGAAACCCACTCCATTCTCTCCCCTACGCCCTGGGTGGGATGAGAGCCAACCAGAGGATTCCCAAGCAACTCAGCTGTGACGAGGGTGTTACTGGCCCTTCCCATTCCCTCCCAGGGCCCAGCTTCCTCCCACCTGTACTGTCACAGGTTGTCCTGGGAGGGCACTAGGAGGAAGAGGCACAGCATGGGTCACTCACAGCTCCAGAAGCTGGGGCTCCCCAGCAGCCAGCGCCAGGCTGCCCAGGGCTGCTCGAGGTTGTTGAACTTGCAGCCTCTTGGTTTCCAAGGTGGCATCCCCAGCTCCAGCAGCAACAAAGTCAAGAAGGGGACCCTCAAACGTCACTCTCCTGCTGGATGCAATGGGTGCTAGGGGCTGAGATTCCCTGCTTGGGCCCAGCACCTTCTGTTTCCAGAGCTCGGCACAGTGGCAGACTGCACGGTGGAGACTTTGGGCTGCCTGCAACAAAGCTTCTGTCAGCTCTTAACCTTCCCTGCCCACTCCTCACAAGAAGGGGATCTGGGCCTACCTGGACCTGCTGCTGGGCCTGCAGCTGCTGCCGGAAGGCCTTCAGGCTGGCTGTGAAGCGCAGGAGCCGAGTTGCGCCCTCCTGGAGGAGCTGCTGGTGGTAGGCCTGTACTGCCTGCTCCAGCCGCACCTTCTTCCTCCTCCTGTCTAGCGCAAAGCCCAGCCACGCAGCCCAAGCCTCCAGGGAGGGCAGGAGGTGAGGCTCAGATGTCCTGCTCAGGGTTCCCCCCAGGAATCTGCCATGACCCAGCCCACTGAGCAGATACTTTCCCTCCCCTTGCCCCCCACCCAGCAGGATGTGAACCCCCACCCCCACCCCCGCTTACCTTTGCCTGTAGAGAGAAAGCCCAGAACCACAGGGCCCGTGCTGTACTCTGCTGCTCCTGCCTCTTGACCACTAACTACAGCCAGAAAGACTGGATTACTCAGGAGGCCACCCAGGCTTTATGGCCCTGTGTTCACTCTGCCCAGCTCATCACTTGCTAGCTAGCAGGGGCTTCCCTCCTTCCACCTGGAAGGGCCCAGCCCCAGGCCTGGCCATGAGGTGCTCAACACACTCATGATTTGTGGATCAGAGTGATATTAGGAAGGGAGGAAGGCAAAGGAAAGAGCAAGTGGGGCCAGCAGGCTGGGCTGAGGAGTGCTGCAGGGAGCTGAGCAGACCTTGGATGGCGCTCTACCAAGGACAGCAAGGAAGACCATCTATGTGTTTGCTGTGCAAAACGTGTGAGACCCCTTCTGGCTTTTTTTGTTTTGTTTTTGAGACAAGGTCTCACTATATAGTTCAGGTTGGCCTTGAACTATGTAGACCAGGCTGGTCTCAACTCAGTGATCCTCCTGCCTCAGCCTCCCCTGAGCGCTGGGATTATAGGCGTTCGCCACCATGCCCGGCCCCTTCTGGCTTTTTATTAAGACCTCAGTAGCCTTGAAGTGACCAGCCTTCTACAGAGTGCAGATAGGAGAAAGCTGATGGTAGTGGGAAGTGTCTGGAGGGATAGGTAGCAGGAGGGAGTCCTCTGACAAAGGCCAATTAAAGGATGAACTAGGGTGTGGGCTGAGTTCACCCACAGCCAGGCCTCTGAGCCAGTGGGAGGAGAGGGAACCTGTGTCAGAGGCTCCCACCTGTCGTCTCCACTGGTGGAAGCAGGCCTGGCTGAGTCTCTGAGCCAGGAGTTGGGAGCCCTGCCTCTGCAGGATCTGAGAAGAGAGACAAGCACACAAGACGTCAGGCCCCACCCTGCATCCTGGTCCCCTGTCCAACCCAGGCCATCTGGAGCAGTCCCAGGGCGAGGCTTCCACCCCAAATGAACTGTCCTCCCATGGCCAAATGTCATCTTGGATGATGCACTAGAAGAGGGTGTATACACAGCTTTGTAGATGTCCCCAGCTCCAACAAACCAGAGATCAAGATGAACTAGGTTTTTCCACCAAGCCACCTCAACCTGGGATAGACTCAATTCTGAGGCTGGCTGCCCCCAGCCTCCATTAAACTGGAAAGACTCCAGGAAGCTTGTTCCCATAGGACCCCAAACTACCCAGCATCCATGCCAGCTGCCTTGAGTTTTATTTGGAAAGATGCTCCCTAAGAGGTGGTCTCCTGGCCCGGACACCCCCTGCCACATGGGAAGAAGCTGGAGAGCAGTTACCACCTGCCTCACCTTTTTCCTGACACACTCCAGATGGTACGCCTTCCACTGTGCCACCGCCTCCCGCAGCAGGTGTTGGTGGTGATGCCGGGCCGCCCCCTCCAGCTGGGCTTTCTGCTGGGCAGCCCTTTGGCTACGGTCCTGCCAGCACCGAAACCAGATGCAGAGACAACCTACAACAGATGCAAGCCAGTGTTTGTCCTTTTATAGGATTTCCACAAGTAACAATGTAACAGCAAGGTTTAGAGAGCAGAGCAGGTTGTGTGGAGATGGGATATCCAGCCCTCTGTGAGTGATATCTCCACACATGGACCATGGCAACTTAAGGACCTTGGCCTCCTTCAATGAGTACATGTACCCCGAGGACTGGAACAGTCTGCTGTTTATGGCTGTGCCCCCTAAGCACCCTCCCAGAGCCACAAGCCTGTCCACAAGTGTGCCAGGCCACAGAGCCACACACAAGGTGTTACCTGGCACTTGGGAGGAGGAGAGACCTTTCTGTTGAAGCTGAAGCTTGGAAGAGGAGGCAGCCTCATTTTACCGAGGAGATCAAGGTTCAATCAGAGAAGTCAAGCCTGTCGGTGTCATGACCATATGGTGCCAGCCATGTCCTGACTACTGGCTCTGCGGTTAGAGGCTGCATCCTGCATATTGTTTCTGCCACCAGATTCTCCCTTTGGTAAATTTTTCTTGGTCCCTGAAACGTTTCTTTTCAAGACAACACAGAGGGATGGTACTGGGGCACTGGTGGTGCCTAGATGGGGAGCCCTCCAGGATCACTGGAGGCCCAATGTCTGTACTGAGTGCTGTACTTCTTGGGTGCTGCTTTAAGAGTCTGCCTGTCTACATATGTATCACTGGATCTTCTTGAGTGACAACCTTGAAAGGTAGGTACTACATCCCTATTTTACAGATGAAGAAACTGAGACTCAGAGGAGGGATAACTTGCATTAGGTCTAACAGCCAAATTATAACCCTTAGCCAGTACTACCACTACTTCTTTTTAGAGATGAGATCTTACTACATTTTGAAGGCTGGCCCCAAACTCCTGGGCTCAAGTAATCCTCAACCTCCCAAGTAGCTGGGATTGTATATAGGCACATGCCAGCACACCTAGCTAAGCTTGCCTCCCCACCCTTTTTGAGATGGTGTCTTGCTCTGCTGCCCGGGCTGGTCATTAATTCCTGGACTCAAGTGATCCTGCCACCTCTACCTCCCATGAAGGTGGAGCTACAGGCACACCCCACTGTGCCCCGCTGCCTGCACTGCTTGAGAACTTCACTTAATGTGTCTCTAATCTTCCCCTTAGCCCCTCCTCACCCAGCACCCAAGAAAGATATGACTGAGATGGAGACCTTAACATAAGCCAAGAATCTGTACCTACTATATGCACAATGTCTTGCTGGCCAGCCTTCCAAGTTCCTGGTGCCATCTACAATGAACATGGCAATTCCAAGGCCTGCCCTGAGTCACCTCCCTATTTTCCATCTCTCTCAAGGAAAGTCCTTCAGAGAAAAGTAGCTTCAGGCTGCATCTGGAACCCATCCCCTCTAACTTCCCACCATAGCCAGCGGTGGGCATCTTTCCAGTGGGTAGTCCAGCCAAACTGTAGTAGGTGCAAAAGCCCTTATCAAACAGAATCCAAGGATGAGATAAAACCCTGCTTTCTTGGGAAATAACTAGAAACACAGTGCTGGGATCAGCACACATAGCATGGTCACAACCCAAACAACGCAAATAGACTTTTGTCCTGTAGCAAACTCAATTATTAAGTCAAATTAACAACCTGACTAGAGCTGGGCATGATGTGGCGCATGCCTGTAATCCCAGCACTCAGGAGGCTGAGGCAGGAGGACTGAGTTCAAGGCCAGTCTGGGCTACACTGACCAGACCTTGTCTCCAAACAAACAAACATAACCAGCCTTATTTTCATCTATTCTAACTATGAGCCGCACCTTTCAGAGTATTGGATTTTTCCACTGTGGGCTCCCAAACCACATTAGGAGAAAATCTCTGCAAATGTCTTGCATATAAGGGCACCAACTGCCCTGGACTCTTTCAGAGGATGTTTATATAGTGGGTAGTGGTACTTCCTAATGGGGTGGCTCAGAGTGGGTCCACTCAGCAAATAACTGGTTCCTGAACACACAAGAGGCCAACTACACAAAGAAGCAGGAAAGGTACTCATACCATGGGGGCTGACTTGATAAGCAGCAGCAGTGGAGGGACTTTCCCGCTGAAACAACACCCTCCCTGGCCACCTAGAACTCATCCATTCCAGCTTCATTAATTTCCCTGTGGCTCTTAGGCCATGGCCTTTCATTTCAACATAAACTGCTTGAGAATCAGCTGGGAGTGGAATTTGATGCACTGAATTAAATAGTGCCCCCCCTCCCCACACCATGACATTCATGTCCTTCCTAGAATCTGACAATGTGAGCTTACTTGGAAATAGGGTCAGTGCAGATGTAATGAGTTAAGATGATATCATACTAAAGTAGGGTGAATCTTAACTCTAATAGGCCTGGTGTCCTTAGAAGACTCAAACAGGCAGCATCCCACAGAGGTGGTGGCTTAGGATGGAGTTATGCATCTACATACCAAGGATGGCCAGCCACTAGCAGAAGCAGGAAGACCAAAGGAAGGATCTTCTCCCAGACCCTTGGGAGGGAGCTCAGCCCTGCTGACACCTTGACTTTGGAACTCTAGTCCCCAGCACTGTGAGAGGAATTTCTTGTTGTTTGAACCTTTCCAGTAAGGGGAGGCCCAGGGGACTAGTACACACAAAGAGGAGACAGACTGTGGAGGGCAGAGGGAACCCCGGGACAGTTCTGTATCCTTCACATTCTTCTCAATTCTACCTGCTTCCCTGGGCCCCACTTACCCCTCTCCAGCACCTTCTGGGCCTCCCTGAGGGCACAGGCCTCCCACTGTCGGTAATATATCTGCACTGAGGCCACCTCCCGCCATTGGACCAGGACCTACAGGCAGGCAAAGAGAGAGGTGATTTTGACACAGCCTGACTTCTGGGGACATCCTAGGTCAGTGGTGGCGAAGCTATGGCATGAGTGCTGCTTCAGACTGTTTGTTATCATTAAAAGCTCTAAAAGGTTTACCATCACTATCCTAGGTCCTAGGCTCCTCCTGAAGTGAGGACAAGTGGTTGAAATTTGGTTCTCACACTTGTTCCAGGAAGCTCTTGCCATCCCCAAAGACCATCTAACAGACCTAGTGACAGAGATTCAGGCCCCTCCAGGAAGGTACTGAGGCACTGGGGCTTTTCAATCAGAAGGATTTTGACAGAAAGTCTATGCCATGGCATATCACAGAGAAGTTGTTACATGGGCTTTAATTCTGTTATTTGTTAAACAGAACATATACATTACATGCACTTACCATGGTTTGGATCTAAAATGCCTTCCGAAAGGCTCATGTGTTCAGAAATGGGGCTTTTAGAAGGTGACTACTTCACAAGGGCTCTAATTTCAATGGATTAATCCATTTATGGATTCATAATTTGAAGGCACTGTTAGGAGGTAATGAAAATTTAGGAAGTAGGGCCTAGTTGAAAGGAAAGGGTCATGTCAGTGTGACTTTGGGGATTTTTCTTTTGGAGACAGGGTCTCACTATACAGTCCAGGCTGGCCCTGAACTCACAATGTAGCCCAGGCTGGCCTCAAACTTGCAGTGATCCTCTTGGCTCAGGTTCCCAAGTGCTGGGATTACAGGCATGCGCCACCACGCCTGGCTTTGGGATTATATTTTGTCCCTAGTTCCTTCCTCTCTGGGTCTCTCTCCCTCCGCCCTGATGTGAGCACCTTCCCTCCACTACACTCTTCTCCCATGATGATTTTGCCTCACCACAGGCCTATCAACAAGGGAGCCAGGTGACCTGTCTTTAAGTTATTTTTCTAAGGTATTCTGTCAGTGACAGAAAGCTACCAACACTCTCCTATGAGACACATATGAAATCTAATAACAAAGCACTTTAAAAAAGAAGTCAGGCAGCCAGTTTCTACCCCCTCACCATCACCCCACAGTCATGAACTCCATTCCTATCAAAAAGGTCTCCTCTTCAGAGGCTGAGACAAAAGGATTGCAAGTTTGAGTACTGCTTGGGCAACTTAGCAAAGACTTGTCTAAAAATTTTAAAAGGGCTGGGGATTTAGCTCAGTGGTAGAACATCCCTGGGTTCAATCCCCCAATACTGCAAGGGGGTGAGGCACTGCTCCCTTCCAAGCCCTGAAGCAAGCAGTTTCTTGTCCTCCTTTCAGAGCAAGGGGAATACAGGGTGGCCTCAAGTTTTCCTGAGAACAAACTGACCTTTGACCACATGTAGCTGCTCCTTCTCCACAGAATGTTCACACCTGTCAGGACTAGCCCCACTAGCCTTCTAGCAGGTGAACTGGTGCCACTCAGGGCTCTTAGCCATTTGCTTTCCTCTAAAACATCTGGGGTTCATGGACTACTGTTACTCCAAGTGCTTGAACTCCCTCTTGTGACACATTTTCTTCCCACTGCTATGTCCTGTCATCTTTCCTACCCCGAGCACCCGAGCAGCTCTACCACGTGGCATTTCCCCATATCCACCCCAGTCATGGGAAGAAGGTGGAGGTCTGAGGTCATTTCCCACTATCGATGACCGGGATCTCATATTCCTGGGAAGCTCTGTATTTTCCAGAAAGGCTCTGTGGCTTTGGGACCTGTGAGACTGCTGAGCATCCTCTTCTTACAGATGAGGAGACAGAGACAGGAACTCAGTAATTTACTTTCCCTCAGTGGAACGTTCCATGTGTGTGGAAGACACTGGTTTTGATAGGAACCAATTAAGCTGCTATGTAGCATGCTTTTTATTTTTTGAAACAAGGTCTTGCTATGCAGTTTGGGCTAGCCTTAAATTCACCATGTAGCCCAGGCTGCCCTTGAACACTTTTCCTGCCTCAGCCTCCCGAGAGTTGGGATTATAGGTATGTACCACCATGCCTGGCTAGCATGTTTTTATTTTAATGGGTATTGGTTTAAAAATTCAGTAAAAATACAAATACCTTCAGACATAGATGCAGGTATGTGTGCTAAGGGGTTACTCATCTTTTTGGGTTCCTTGTTCAGTGCTACTCTCTGGCACCAGCCTCTGCCCCACATCCTGACTTGAAGCATGGTCTCCAAGCCTCCAGATTGTCTTCCTACACCTCACCTTGGAACATACGGTCCTTCTGTAGTGGGCTCTTGCTTGAGAGGATCTTCTGGCCTCATCTGCATGAGCCATGGTGTTCTTCCTCCAGCGATGCAATGCCCACCTATAGGTGCATGGGCCAGGTGAGGGCAGGGGACCCCAGTGTGGAGGGATGTAAGTGGCTTCTGTGAATCCCTCCTTGTTCTTGCCCCACTCCTAAGGACTCTGCCTCAGAGTATCTACTGCCCTGACACCCAAGTTCATGCTCATATCCATATCCAGTGGATGCTGAGTACTTAGGATTTGTGCTGGGCACTAGGTGGGACCTAGCAACACACAGGAGCTAACGCCACATCCTCCTGAGTTTATGTGATACAGAGCTATAACCAGGCAATCCCAATACAGGTGATTCATGGTGTGTTAAGAGAGGTACAGAGAGATAAGAAAGCTGAGGAAGGTTACCCAAACCCAAGCACATGCTTCTGTGGTGTTAAGCTTGGGGAGGCCCTCTTTCTTATTCCAGCTGTCCAAAGGACCAAATGACGCTTTATGGAACCCCAGAGGAAGGACAGAAGTTTTTAAAGTCCACAGGGTTCACTTCCACATTCATCCAGAATAATGTATGCTAAACAAATAGAAAAGAAAAAAAAAAAAAGAAGGAAGAAGCAACAGAGAGAGACCTCCTGGGAAAAAGCAACAGAGCTTGGCTTAGAAAGAGTGGAAAATACACCACCCGTGTCCTCCAAGGACTGAGAGAGGCAAATGGTCCTAGAGGGCTGGGAAGTGACCATGAGGAGCCAGCTAGGAGGGGACTGCCTGGGAACTGACAGGAAAGGGAGTGCTGCAAGACAGGAGAGGAGAGGAGATTTGATGGTGTTTCAAGAGGCTGAAATTTGCAAGTGGAAGTAGGGAGGAAAACACTCAGAGGAGCAGGACAAGTGGGAGGCCATGGAGGCATCCAGGTTCTCCTTCCAAGGCTGGCTGTACACACTGCAAGAGCTCAAGGCATGCTGAGGTGAACCAGTAAATGCTGTGCTACTGTGAAAAAGTCAGAACTACAACTTGAGTACTATGAGGCACTCAGGCCCACCCTCAGCCTCCCAGAGACAGGACTCCCCACAACACCTGGCTCTGGAGCTGTTCTTCCTCCCTCAGCCTGTACCCATGAGACATGGGAGACTCACCTAATCAGCTGCCTGTTGTGCTGGCTCTCCCTGACTGTCACTTCCTGTAGAATGCTCCACACCCAGCCCTGGTAAGCCTGTGGAAGATGAGGACTGGAGGCTAACTGTTCCAGGTAGGCCTCTGAAGTGTATTTATATAACCAGAGTACTCACAAAGGTGGGAAGAGGTTGAAGGCTGCTATTCCAAAGACAGAAGACCTCCCCCACCCCAAGACTGTCCCACTTGGGCCTCACCTAATAGGTCAAACCCCTGGACTCCTGGACATGGAGCCACTTGTCCTGTAAAGCTAGTGCCAACTGTTTTCACTTTGCCCAGCAACGACTGATGGAGCCCGTAGCTATAAAACCTGTGGTCTGGGCCATTTGCTCTATTTGAGGCTTGTTAGATTACTCTGGGGAAGGTGCTAGAAGAAAAAGGAAATAGTCTCCAGAAACCTCCCCTGCCTCTACCACAATGAGGCCTGGAGGAAATAGGTTCTCCTACCAGCCATTTTTGTAGTGCTCTTCGAAGCATGGCTCGCTGGCTGTGCAGGTCCGCCTGCATTAGCTTCTGTTGCTCAGCTGCCTGCAGGGCCAGCCTCTGTGGACAGAGGACAGCACAACCAGTGTGGGCAGAGGGTTGACTGAGTTCCAGGTGTGGCTCCATTTTACACTCTGTGGGCTCATGTAAGCCCCAGTTTCCTCATCTACAGCTACATGCTTTCTGAAGGTTTTCTGAGGATCAAATGAGGCAAGTGCCTGATTTACAGTAAATGCTTGATCAATGTCAGCTTAAAATTTTATGCATTTAGTAGGGTTCCTATAAAGATTATGTATGGAATTTTAGATTCAGAAAGTTCAGATAAGAACAGGCTAGCACCTAGAAGAACATGGTGTCCTGAGCCAATCATCTCACAAAAGTGAGGACACTTCTCATCTGCTGCCTGCCCTCCTCCCCCAGCTCAGGGGCAGGTGGCTTCCAAGTCACTGCCCAGGAGCCCATCTGTCTGCTCTGAGTCACACTGATACATAGCTCCACCTGTCCAAAAGCCACACTTGGGTGGTGCCAAAGTCTTACCTCCCTCCACCTGCTCCAGGCCCAGCGCAGGAGCTGCCCTGAGTGGAATTGTGCAGCCTGCACTCTGCTTATCCTCCTGCAGGGAGACAAGTGGAACTTAGCGCTGCAGCCAAGGTTAGCCTCCTGCCAGCTCCCATTCACAGTCCCTGGCCCCTACTTAGTAGTAAATATTTTTTGGAGGAAAGGGCGAGGTCATTTCTGAAAAGCAGGACTTGAGCTCTTCCTCAGAGGAGTGTATTTACAAAGGTTTGCACACAAATTCACGGAGCTTCAAGTAGCTTATGCTTTCTCATGTGCAGGCATGCTGGAGCCCCCCTCTGAAAAGGAGGCTGAATGTGACCAAGGTACGGGAGGTAGTGATTCTCAGAATACCACAGTGGATACAGAAAGGCACCAAAATAGGATGATCTCTGCAGTAGACACGTCTGCCTTGCCCTCTGTAGCCACGTGGTATGGTAAAAAAATGCCATTACCTGTTCATGGGACACAATCACCAGTCCTGGGGTGGCTGGCTGTCCTCAGATGGGCCCATCAGCCTGTTTCCTGGGTACTGTCATTTCAAATCGGCACCAACCATAAACAGGATGTGGCTAATGGACAGGACCTCCCGGATCCGAGAGTACTCTTTGCCAGGTGAGATCCTGAGGCTGGGGGATCTACGAGGTACTCCAAGATCCTGTCACTGTGGTCTTGGTTTTACTTGGACCATTTTGGATTGAATTTCAGGAATTTACAACCAGTCTAGCATAACACAACCCTCTGGACAGGCACTTGGAGCTAATAGTGTTGCTATAGTCAAAGCTGGCCTGGGCTGGAGAGGTTTTGAGGCAGAAGAGTCCACTCACTCTGTTCTGAGCTGTTGGGCACTCTCCTTCCAGATGCAGAACGCATTTCTGAGCCGCCTTTCGCGGTGCTGGGCACAGGCCACTGCTTCCCATTCTCGCTCCTGTTGACGTGCTGCTACCCGCTGGTGCCAGGTAAGCCAGAACCTACGCAGAAGATGCCTCTCTGCCTGGAGGATGGCCTGAGGCAAGTTAGGAGGGAGAGAACAGAACAAGTCAAGTAGGAGCTGGGTACAGAAGTCAGGGGAGAATCTACAGAATAATGATTAAGGCAAAAGAAAAGGATGTTCAGGAGGTGCCCTGACCTAGAAGCTACCTGTTAACTCCAACAGAACACAGATGTGCAGACCCTGCTCCTGTCTCATGAAGCCCAGCCCAGCATTGTGGGCCTGGCTTCCCTGCAACTTTCTGAGGGGACACAGTGAGGACAGGAGCTTTAAACAGGTCCTACCCCTCCAGGCACCTCCTCAGGGACAGGCACTTACTATTCTCTCTGCCAAGTGGTTTTCTCGATGCTGAAACATCTTCTGCCACCAGACAGCAAACACTTGCTTCTCTATCACCTCCCTAAAAACAAATATGGAAGAAAAAATGAATAGGAGTAAAGCACTTAACATAAAAGACAAAAATCCAACAGGACTGTAAGTTCCAAATAATTGGATTTTCTTTTATAAACTCTAGAGAAAGGAAGGAAAGGAATACAGGCAATAGTCAAAAGAAAAAAGACAAAACCTCTAACATTTCTCCAGTTACTTTCAGAATGAGCAGCTTTTGCATAGAATGAGAACGATTCAGATTCACAGACCCTAGTTCTTTAGTAATTCTACACTGAATTACTAATGCTAACCAATGATTATATACAAAAAGTCTCTCATGGGGCCCGGGATTTAGCTCAGTGGTTCCGTCGCCTGCCTCGCAAGTGTAAGGTCCTGAGTTCGATTCCCAGTACCAAAAAAAAAATCTCTCATGTGTGCCAAACAGCCCTAGGCCTACAAAAGGGCCAGACCCCCAAGGCTGACTGAACAGGTCTGAGGCAGGTCCCAGGACAATATTCTTTGAAACTAGTAGTCCAGGTGAACTGATCACCCAGACAGGATTGGGAACCACCATCACCTCTGTCTAGGCCTACCTGCTCACCATTAACTATGGCAAATCCTGAGATAGCAGGGCCAGGACAAGTGACCAACAGGCACTGAGGGCTACATATGGGCAAAGCTATGAGGACCAAAGCCGCTCCCCTGGCATTTAACTGCTACCCTGGCATTTAACATAGGCAACATGTCACTCAAAAGAGTTCCACCTCTAGTCATGACACAGTCCTAGGCTTGCCCTCCAGACATATACTGCAAAACTAGACTAAATAAACAAAGCAACAGCTGGGTGTGGTGGCACATGGCTGTAATCCCAGCATTCCGGAGGCTGAGGCAAGAGGGTCACTTTGAGTTTGAAGACAGCATTGGGTACACAGTAAATTCAAGGCTAACCTGGACTATACAGCAAGACCCTGTCTAAACAAATAAATAAATTTTAAAAAGCAATAATTTTCATGCACCAGACAACAGCAAGTACACAATGATGCTTTCAAGAAACATGCAAGCCCCTAGCCTGCCCAGGCTTGGTGCCTGGGCATATATTCTGGATAGAAAAGGAGAAGGAAGCCAAGTAGAACACAACAGATTCACTGAGAAGGTAGAGACTGGAATTCAAAATTGCTGAAAGTAGGGGTGAGGGAATTGGAGAAGAGGACACTAAACAGAGGGGAATACTCAGAATTTTACTGAGGTTGTCACTGGTCCTCAAATGAGGGCTGAACCTACAGATTCTCTGAGACCTAGCAGAGGGCAGCTCCTGCAGGGCTAAGAGATATGAGAGGCTGGAGACATCAAAAACAAAAGCTAACTTCATCTTCAGTTCACCAGCACTATAAATATGGAAAAGGATGAAAGGAAAAGACACGAGAACTAAAATCTACAGGGAGAAATGAAGAACACTGGAAATGGGAAATATATGGCTAAATATAAGACTACTACTTCTGCCAGCCATGGTGGCACATGCCTGTAATCCTAGCACTTAGAAGGCTGAGGCAGGAGGATCATCATGAGTTTGAAGCTAGGTTGGGCTATATAGTGAGTTCAAAGCCAGCCTGAAATACACAGCAAGATCCTTTAAAAAAAAAAAAAAAAGGGCATACAGATTGGAAAGAATAAAGCTATCTTTCTTTGTATACAACATGATTATTTATGAAATTTTTAAAAACTGCTAAACTAGTAAGTGAATTTTAAAAAGTCAGGGAAATACAAGGTATCAATTATATTTCTAGAGACTAGGAGGAGATAATTGGAAAATGAATTTTAACAGAGAAATACTATATCCAATACAATCCCAAACAAACTGGCAAATTGATTACACATAGACTTAGACTAGACAAAATAATTCTGAAAAAGAATAAAGTTGAAAGTCTATATAATTTTAAAACGTGCTAAGAAGATATTTATCAAGACAGTATGGTAATAACATAAGGATACCCAAATAATAAATAGAACAGAAGAGAAACCTTATAGATATATACAAACTATGGGGCCAGCTGATTTTTTTTTTTTTTTTTTTTTGGTACTGGGGATCGAACTTGGGACCTTGCACTTGCCAGGCAGGCGCTGGCACCCCTGAGCTAAATCCCTGGCTCATGATTTTTTTTTTAAGACAAGGTCTCACTATGTAGCCCAGGCTGCCCTTGAACCCACTATATAACCCAGACTGGCCTAGAACTCATGGCAATCCTCCTGCCTCAGCCTCCCAAGTGCTGGGATTAGAGGCACACACCACCTCACCTTGTTCTGATTTTTTTTTTTTTTTGGTACCAGGGATTGAACTCAGGTCCTCTGCTTGCGCAGCAGGCGGTGAAACCACTGAGCTAAATCCCTGGCCCAAAAAAACACTGGAAGCTTTTTTTTTTTTTGGTACCAGGGATCGAACTCAGGTCCTTGAGCTTTCGAGGCAGGCAGCAGAACCACTGAGCTAAATCCCCAGCCCCTCTTGCTCTGACTTTTTAACAAAGGTGCCAAGGCAATTCAATGACAATGGAAACAGAAATATGCTGATTAGAGTACTGATTATCCAGATGCATAATTCATGAAACTACATCAAACTGCTTAACATCTGTGCCTTTCACTGTAAACAAGTTTTATATCAATTTTTTAAAAAAGAGAAATCAGTTTCATTTCATTCTCAATATATTTTTTTGGTTTTTAAAAAATAAATGTTCTTTTACTTTATCCCATTGCCCCCCTCAAACCCCACCTATCGTTCTCAATATGTTTTAAAGGAGGGTTCACAAATCATTTTTAGTCATAATCAGTTGAGTATCCACAATAATTCTGTCTATATTCCTAAAACATTAAGCAAATACCCTAATATTACAGAGAATGTTTATCTGGAATTTTATTAAACCCCAAACCAATGCTATGAAAATTTACTTAACATAAAAGTCACAAATCAAACTGATTCTAGCAGTTAGGGAAATTGTTCTATTTTGTGCTGGGCACCCTGCTAGTATTTGACATGTATTATCTTGTTTGGTTTTCATGACAACCTATGAGACAGGGACTATTAACTAACCATCTCTACTCCACATTCTAGGAAACTGAAGTGCAGAGACAGTGACCAGCCCAAGGCCATGGAGTTGCCAGGTGGCAGAGCAAAGGTCTGAACTCAGGCCTGTGATCAGGCCTTCCCAACCAGACTCTCAATTACTCTGCTCCCTTATAAACCATGAAGGAGGAAATCTGAAAGAATAAGTTTCCTAAAAAGTTCAAACCACCAAAACATAACAAAATCTTTTCACCATCTTTCAGGACTCCTGGCTACTTCCTGTCTCCAATTCAGTCACCAGCCTCTTGTCTCCAGTGAGAGTTCCAAAATACCCAAGCCTGCTCCCCAGCAAAAATCTTTGTAGAGGTTCCTCTTGGCAACTTTGAAGGCACTCTCAAAACTTTTGTCCCCACATCATGCAAAATACAAATAGCAACAGAAGCAAGCGTTGACTACTTGTTTGCAATAGAAACAAAGGAATGTGTATGTTTTAAGTACTGAAACCATTTTTCAAACTGACCTTATACCAGACCACAATATAGGAATCAGGTAAAGGCAAAGCTGCCCTTTTGCAGAAGAGGGCAGAGATAAGAGGTGTGTCTTCAGCAGCCTCTATTCCTTGAAACTATCTCTTAAAATCATCTCCTTGGACTTATATTCAGGAGTTCTAGTGTTCTGGGTGATTTTCTCAAATCAGCATCTGGAGTCTTCCAAATTCAACATCACCACAATTTTTCCTATTGCATGCCCCACCCCCCAGTCTCCCAACTTAAATTGATGTACACTGTACTCAGGATACCCTTCAAAACTGTCACTTTACTAGGTCCATGCAACCATCCAAACACCTGTCCATCACCTGTCTATAGGATTAGTCCAACACATTTGGCCCTCCATCCTCACCCTACTGGCTCACAGGAAGCCACCTCTACTATACTTCCATGTTCTCCAGCTACCCTCTGTACTGTCTCTGAGGTCTAGAAGAATTTGTGCCCAGACATAATTTGGGATTCATAGATTTATTCTCTTGAATTGGTTTGCAATTGTTTCAGTCTTGGTTTTCAATTGTATGGGTCTGTCTTCTCACAAGAGCTTAAACTCCGGCCAGGCATGTAGCTCAGTGGTGTCACGCCTGCCTGGCAAGCGCAAGACCCTGAGTTTGATCCCTGATACCACAGGAAAAAAAAAAAAAAAAAGAACTTAAACTCCTACTAAGTCATTGAAGAGATCTTTCTCTTGATCAAGTAGACAGCATCTGGACTTTGGAATGGGAGATATGAGTTTATATCCTGGCTCCGCCACTTACTGATTGTGTTACCATGGATAGGTCATTTATCATTCTCAATCTGTTCTCTTAGGACTGCTGAGGAGGAAATTATTAATGAAGATAATTATGTCACAGGCAGAACGAGCTTAAATATTCGATTTCTTTCATCACATAATGCCAACCCACAGTGGCTGACACACAATTAGTGATTAACAATTTCTTTATTATGTTCCGCCAACATGTAATAAGGACCCACTATGGGCAACTGTGGTCCTATGGGGCTAAAAGGATGTAGGGCAGTTCCTAGGTTTTTCTAATTTAGTTGATGACTATAATTTTAAGAGTACAAAATGGCTGTCTTGGAACAGCAACTAAACATTTCAGGGAAATCACACTCAAGAATTCCTGCCAAGGCCAGGCCAGGTCCTACTGTGCTGATCCAGAAAGCTAACGGATGTAACGGAGTTTTCATCCTTATGAAATGAGGACGGGTATAAAACACAAGCTATTTGCCAAGCATCTGCAATAAAGATGGACAAAAGTTTTCCCACAGGAAACAACTGTTTTTTCCTGTTAGATGAAATCAATAGTGTGGAGGATCACCCCATTGATTATGCCCAAAGCAGCCTGCAAACACTGCAGGCTGTAAAGAGTTAACTCCACAATTGGCTTGTTTATAGAAGTGAGTCTGGCCAAAGCCTATGTGCCAAGGTCAGAGTGACTTGCACCCAAATTCTGTTCCCAGAGTTAAAACCTTCTTTACTAAAAAGAAGGTTAATTATTAACCACAACCTATATTTTGTCTGTTCTGTTCCTAATTCAACAATGCTTTGTCTCTTCCTTTACAAGCCTTGCCTGCACCAGCAACGTATTCATAGCAACTCCATGTAGCCCCTTTACCTCAATCTAGCTATGATGTCACCAATAAATATTGACAGCTCTGGGTGTTCAAGGCATTTGCTTGCTCATGCCTCTGACTGCACAAGCACTGGACATCCCAGGTCCTGGAATCTGTCTCTTTAACTCCGTCTGTGTCTTTCTTCTTGCCTTGCGCCACAGCACTGAGCAGGAGACTGGAACCCACTGCAGGGGGATCCAGTAAATAGGCCCACATTATTGAAAACCCAGGAAGAACCAGAGGCTGGAGGGATGGGAGGCTGAGAAGTGAACAAATGGGCTGCATGGCTGGCAGAGTTGGACCAGAGACACCTGCCCCACTGTAGACAGGAACCGCACAGCATACCTGTGAAAACACGCTGCTCTTGCACTGAGGACACTTTCCTGCTGGTGCCATCGCCAGAGTCTACTCCATGTGTGGAGAGCAGCGGGCAGGGTTCTCTGCTGGAAATGACCATCTGCTCTGGCCTGCAGCAGCTAAAGTAAAATAATAAATGGCTTTTGTGCACTGCTTTTATTTTATTTTTCACCAAACCACCTTTTAGGGTCACACTCATGAGGGAGGATCGCTTCCTGTACAATGAAATTGATAAAAAGATAAAAATCATTTGGTTTCATTTTGGTCAATATACTAGGTAAAAATGAAAGACAAAAATTATTCACTTCCTTAATTACCTGTGACCTTAATTATATGTGACCATCTCTTCGTATATAGTTAGATAAATACATATGCACACACATGTGTACCTAAATGTTTTCCTTATTGCTTAGAAGTGTTCATACCCATTGGCTATTTTATCTGATTGTCAGTATTTAATTCAATGATTGATATGAGTTTTTGAACCTTAAAAACTTTGTCTTTTGTCATGTGTGTTTGTAGTATTTATTTGTCATATAGATTCTTTAACTTTTTATGCAATTATGAAAGGCTACTATTTTATTAATTTATCAGTAAAAAGACAAATGACCCACAAATAGATATACCTCCATGATTTAAAAAACTAGGGAGGAAATCATACATGCACATGAGAAGGAGCCTTGAAAGGCTTGTTTAAGGCCATGTTTTAAAACATGGTTGTAGGGCCGGGGATTTAGCTCAGTGGTTCCGGCGCCTGCCTCGAAAGTGCAAGTTCCCCAGAGTTTGATCCTCCGGTACCAAAAAAAAGGAAAAAACAAAACAAAACATGGCTGTAGGCCAGGGATGAGGATATGTCTGTAATCCCAGCACCTTGGTAGGCTGAAGCAGGAGGATCACAACAAGTTTGAGGCCAGCCTGAACTACACAGCAAGACCCTATCTCAAAAACACCAAAAAAAGGGGCCTGAGGATGTAGCTTAGTCCAAAGGCTCTGGATTCAATCCCTTGAAGAAAAAGACATAGTAGGGATGGCTAGTGTCTGCTCCAGGAATCCTGGGGCCTCGGCTGTGAAGATTCTAATGGCAAAGGTTTGGAATCATGCAGAAGCATTTCCATGCATGTCCGGTTCCTGGCTTGGAAAGACTGCACTGAACTCGGAGTGTTAACCAGAGAGTTTATATATGATACTACCATGAGATGTGCACTACCTCACAGCATAGTGGCCTTGGGGTAGTCAGATATCAGGGCTTTAGAAGTGACTGCTCCAGTAGACAAAGCAGGTATATGGCCCTTCATATGGTCTTGGCAAGCATCTAGTGTCACTCTGACCATGGTTTCTTGGTCAAAGCAGTCGCAGTCCCACCCAGATCCACTTCCCAATTTCCAATTTTGTTTTCTCAGTACTGAAGATTGAACCAGGAGCCATGAGCTACATCCCCAGCCCTCTTCAACTTTGAGACTAGTTCTCACTATGTAGTCCAGGTAGGCCTCAAACTTCCCATTTTCCTGACTTAGCCTCTTGAGTAGCTGGGATTACAGGTGTGTACCACCACACCTGGCTTTCCCCATATCCCAGTACTAGGGATTAAACCCAGGTCCTTATACATGCTAGGCCAAGTGCTCTACCACTTTACAGCTGCAGGCATTTTCATTTTAAGACAGGGTCTTGCTAAATTGCCCAGGCTGGCCTCAAACTTGCAATCTTCCTGCCTCAGCCTCCCAAGTAGCTGGGATTACAGGTGTGGGTTACTATGTCCAGCTTCCCACTATGTCTTGTCTTAATTTTTGAGCAACAGAATCCTTAAACAGAGTATCATGGTTGTTGTTTTATGACAGAGTTTGGGATGATTTTTAACACAGCAACAAATAACTGAAATAGTGTGCATATGCATGTATGTGAATATATGGGTACAAGCACTTCAACACAGAGGAAGATACAGGCTTGACAACCAAATCTCTTCTTAAAAGGCAAGGTTATAAGTATCTTTTTTCCACTCCTTTTTATGCCTTTCTGCACTTTCAAATTTTTCTATGTCTGTATCTTGTTTTTCTATTATGGGCATTTTTTTTTCAGTACTGGGGATCAAGCTCAGGACCTTGTGCCTGCAAGGCAGGCAAGGTGCCACTGAGCTAAATCTCCAGCCCTATTACAGGCATTTTTGAATGTAAACAAAAGTAGAAGCAACAGTCTAATCAATACCGCCAACCTCAAAAGTTAGCAAACATTTTGCCATTCTGCATCTATTATTTTTTTTTAAAGTTTATTAGTACATGTATGTAGTATATAATGTTTATATTCCTCGTGGGAAATTAGTACGTGTACCTATTACTTTTTTTTGTTTTGTTTTTGGTACCAGGGATCGAATTCGGGACCCTGCGCTTGCGCGGCAGGTGCCGGAATCACTGAGCTAAATCCCCAGCCCCCATCACTTTTTAATAAGAAAAAACCTACAATAAATATTTTTATATTTTCCTAAATCAGAAAGAACCGATGTGTGCATGGGATGTTTACACCAAGAGGTGGCATTCAGATTGTTAAAGGTTTTTTAAAAAGCAAATAGCCAAGCAGTGCTCTTATTATTCTTTAAACTTACTTCACCTTCAAAAGCTGACCAAGCTGGAGCACTATGTGAGAGAACCCTTACCCTTGACTTTTCAAATATGGTAAGTCCCAGGGTCAAGGAGAGCTCTCTTTTCCTGAAAGAAATAAAAGAGGTCTTCTGCCTTCCACCAGAATAAACACAAATTTTCCATCCTGGCACTCAGTCTTTTGCTAAAAGGCCTCCCAACACTCTACTGAACTAGCATTAAATTAATTCAAGAGAACAAATAACAATGTCCTTTCTAAAACAGCCACATAATTGAAAGGGATGTCAATGCAGTGACTCTAAGCATTTTCTAGGTGTGGAAGGCAAAAGTGACACAAAACAAGCCAACGCCAAGCCACATAAACTCCCACAACAAAAATCTTTCAAAAAAACTCCGACAAGATCAATGTCAGTGAATTTGTTCATTCATCCATATATTAGTCAGCACATGTTCTATGCCAAGTACTGTGCTGGACTAAGAAGAAAAACAGGCTGTACTCACAAGGAGTTCCAGGCTGGTGGAAGAAAGAGGCCAGCAGACAACTGTGTGATGAATGTGCTGATGAACTACACAGGTGAGAGTAGGCTGAGGGCTGAAGGAGCATCTGAGCTTCAAGGGTAGTGAGGCACAGAGAACCGCAGGTACAGTGAGGAGGAGGAGTATAAGCAGAACATTCAGGAACAGCTGGCAGCCTAACTGCCAGTGCAGTTACAGAAAAGGGTGCTAACAAGGAAGGAAGGGTAGAGAAATAGCAACCAGATCCTAGAGGATCTTTGTGTGCCTTGCTAAAATTTGCATTCTCCAGCCAGGGCGTGGTAGCACACGCATGCCTGTGATCCCAGCACTCGGGAGGCTGAGGCAGGAGGATAGATCTCTCCAAGTTCAAGGCCAGCCTGGGCTACACAGTGAGTTCAGGGCCAGCCTGAACTACAAAGGGAGACCCTGACTCAAAAAACAAAACAAAACAAACAAACAAACAAAAATTGCATTCTATCCAAAAACTACAGGGAGCCAACCAAAATCTTTAGATTCATGTGTTAGATTCTAGCAGCAGATGGAGATGAGATTGGGGAGGCCAGCACAAAAACAACTGGGAGGAGTTTGGTTTGTTTTCCTCTGATTCACTGCCATGGGTGGCCAAAGAGGGGCATTTTTCATGCAGACATCATCAATTGCACAAACATCTCCCTGGTCTGAATATGACCTTGAAATCCTTCTTAGTTCAGCATTTGACATCATCCACATCTTAGTTCAGCTACTTCCAATCATTAGATCCAGCCTGCAAGATCGTATGTATCTGTCATCCTTATGCTACTTATAAGTCTGTGAGAGCAGGAATTCTGCCTGTGTATCACAGTTGTGTCCTCAGTGTTTATCAGTCTGAAGGATAACATTTGTGGAAAAAGTACAGTACTTCTTAAATAGAACTCAATTTAGCCTTCTCAATCTTTTACTGATTTGTCATCCTGATCTCCACCTCCTCCACCCAGTGGTGCACCTGTGTCCAACACGGTTTAGCACTAGGATACAGTATTAATGCTTCTCTGTATATTTCCCCATATCTTTAGAAGGACCCAGTGGGTGACAGGCTTGCTAACTCATATAATAAATTAATCCAACTCCAGATGTGAGCAGCTATCCAGATTAGTGGTGCATATCTATAATCTCAGCAGTAGGGAGGACTGCAAGTTTGAGGCCACCCTGGGCTACACAGTAAGTTTGAGGCTAGCCTGAACTACATACTGATATCCTGCCTCAAAATGAATGAATGAGGGGCTGGGGATTTAGCTCGATGGCGTCATGCCTGCCTCATAAGCACAAGATCCTGAGTTCCATCCCTGGTACAAAAAAAAAAAGAATGAATGAATGAGCAGGCTAGGAATACAGCTCAGTGGTAAGCGTGCCCCTGGATTTCATTGCTAGCACTGGGAGATATAAATAAATAAATAAATAAATAAATGTATGTGAATGGTTGGTAAGAACTCGTTGCTTTCCCTCATTTTCCCAGCAGATGAAGGAATAAGAATTGTGCAGTTTTTGACAACAAAAGCAGGGCCTGAAAGAAATACATGTGAGCTTTTTACAACATTCTTTCTTCCAAACTAGAAGAGCAGGATCTCTTGGCATAGGCCTTTTCCAAGCCAATTCAAGACTGTAAGGCAGTATAGCTATCTGCTTTAAAGTCCTCCATACCTGCTTGTATCTTCTCTTCTGAGTATAATGTAACCACAATTTGATACACTTGCATAGCACTGTTATCCTGAAATAAAACACAGAGCATCAAAGTACTCCCCATCTGCACCTTCAGGTTTCAGATTTTTTAATTTTTGTTTGTTTTTAAGGCAGGTAAATCTGTATACAGTTACTTCTTGTGAGTTAAAGTCACCCCAGGAGCTTACTATTTCGTTCTAGGAGACAGGAAAATAAGAACCTGATACCTAACATGAAACCTGTCAGCTCCTGATTTTGGACTCTGGCTTGCTTAAACATTTTGACAATTTTCTTCTTTTTCTTTCTTTGCAATGCTTGCGATTGAACCCAGGGACTTGTACATGCTAGGCAAGTGCTCTGCCTCTAAGTCACATTCCCAGTCCTTGATAACTTTGTAAGTAACTTATAAATTTAACTAGACCACGAGGCACAGTATTTCTGGAACTTAGAAAATATGTATGAAATACCCCAGAGATCCTGAACTTGCTGATTTTATGGGCAAACTCTGGAGCTTATGTGGGACTATCTGGGCCTGTGACATGCTCCTTTTAATGTAGTAATACTGAGAATGAGAGTCACACTCAGTTTTATAAACCAATATTTAGAATAATGCTATACTTTGACAAACTCTGAGTTGAATGATTTAAATATTAGGATTCTCATTTTTTAATGCTCCAAGGGCTGGAACATTCAGAGGTTAAGTACCTGTTTAGTATGTGGTGGCCCTGGGTTTGATCTCCTGCACCAAAAATGAATAATTGATTAATTAAAAAATTGTTTCAAATGCTCCAAAATTGGACTTATAACTATGTAAATTAATGAGAAGGAAAGAAAAGGGTGGGAGGTAAAGGATATTTTTAGTGGCAAGAAAGTTAATAGTGGTTACATTAAAAGAATTAGACTATGGAACTATAGAGAGGGGAGCAGGCAACTTTCATTTTCATTTTATCCTTCTTTCTATATATTCTGAATTTTTTCCAAAGACATGTAGTACTTTTATTTAACCAAATGTTGAGCTCTAAAAAAACCGAGAACACTCCTTGTTCCCTTCAAGACTGAGGCACAAATACCCATCTGGCCTGACCCTTTCACATTAGTAAAGCATAAATTCTAAAATATGAACATCACAACATCTGAAGAACAATGGCAAGACCCAGTACAAACATCCTCATTCTATCTCCCATCTGATCAGCCAAAAGCAAAATGTAATCTAAGAACCACATATTTATAGTAAGATCTCTCCCTTTAAAAGGCCTTTCTGAATCTATGGCACTAACTTGTGGCATGGTAAGTGATCATTCTGGGAAAATGTAAGTCAGGGGCTGGGGATTTATCTCAGTGGTTCTGCTGCCTGCCTGGAAAGCACAAGGTCCCAAGTTCGATCCGGTACCAAAAAAACCCCCCCAAAAACCAAAAAAACAACTAATTGGGCTGGAGATTTAGCTTAGTGGTTCTGGTGCCTGCCTCAAAAGCACAAGGTCCCGAGTTCAATCCTCAGTACCAAAAAAAAAATGTGAAGTCAGAATCACAAAATATCCTAGGAGAGGCTGAGGCTAAGGCTGGAGTCCTACCTGTAGTGGGCCCAGGCTATATTCAGTGAGGGGAGCTGCTCTTTTTCTGCCCTCTGCTCAATCCGAGACTGCCAGATGTTCCAGAATCTATGTAGCAACTGAAACAAAACAAAATAAAATGGAAATTTACTAAGGTGAAACACAGAATGACTGCTCTTAACCTATTAGTGAATTTTTACTCTAAGAGACTGTGAACTCCCCCAAAGTAGATACTACCTCTGTCTGGAACACCTGGCATACTTGGGCTTGCAAAATAATTATGTCTGAGTTCTGCATCTATTTGAGCTATCATAAAAGACAAAGAGATGATTCTTCCAATCTATGGAAATCTGGATTAATAACTATTCCTAATCTGAGTCTCACTGAAGAAAATGCCATTTTCAAGTCATTTTGGAGCTGGGCACGGTGACGCATGCCTGTAATCCCAACACTTGGGAGAGCCTGGGCTACACAGTGAGTTTGAGGCCAGCCTGAACTACACAGCAAGACTCTGTCTCAAAAAAACCAAAAAAAAAAGTCATTTTAGAAATGAAAACTATTCTTACCACATACTGCCACCCTAGGAAGTAGTCTTGTCAAAAATGTTTAAATTAATCAAGTCCTTAGATATAACTCCTACCTTACAGGAATGACTACATAGAATAAAGGAAAATTAGACGACATCAAAAAGAAACATATAAATTAAGAAGGAACATTATACAAAATAACAGGTCCATTTCAAAAAGCCAAAGTCATTTTTAAGAAAAAGCGTACATTACGCTAACTAAGCCAGTCACAAGAGGACAAATAGTTCCACTTACGAGGCCTCTGGAGTGGTGAACTTCATAGAAACAGAAAGAACAGTGATAGTCAGGGGCTGGGAGAAAGACAACGGGGAGTTAGTGTTTAATGGGTATAGTGGCAGTTTGGCAAGATGAAAAGAGTTCTAGAGATGGATAATGGTCATGGTTGCACAACAATGTGAATGTATTTAAAACCACTCACCTGTATGTTTCACTGTATGGTGATAAAATTTGCGGTATGTGTATTCTGCCACAATTAAAAAATATAGGGCCAGGGATTTAGCTCAGTGGTTCTGCTGCCTTCCTTGCAAGCGCAAGGTCCTGAGTTCGAGTACCAAAAAAAAAAAGTAAATGTGTAAAAATAGTAGGGGTTGGGGATAAATTGCTCTAAATTAAAAGCTTTAGGAGGCATAATGACCAAATATAATGAACAATCTTTAATTAAACCTTGGTTTTTATTCATTTTTTGTACTGGGGATTGAACTCGGAACCCTGCCCAAATCCTGATTTTTATATTTTTTAATTTTTAATTTTTTTTTTTTTTGGTACCAGGGATCGAACTCCAGACCTTGCTCTTTTGAGGCAGGAAGTGGGACCACTGAGCTAAATCCACACCCATCCCGGTTTTTATAAAAAAAAATTTTGAGGACAAGTGTGGGAATTTAAATATGGACTGGATATTGGATAATATTAAAGAATTGCTTTTTATTTTGCTGGGGACAATAATGATATTGTAGTTATATAAGAAACTAGCCTTACTTTGGGGGTGATGCTTAGTAAAATGTTTACATGCAAAGCATCATGATGCTTATAATTTCCTTAGAACTATTCATGGGAAAAACTAAAGCAGATATAGTAAATATTAATAAATGTTGAATCTAGGTCATGAGTATATATTCTGTGTTCCGTATGTTTGAATATTTCCATAAAACAACAACAAAGTCCACCGTCCTACGCTCAGAAACAAAATTTACAGAGAAGCTTTTTTCTTTTTTTCTTAATATTTTTGAGACAGGGTCTCCCTCTGTAGTTCAGGCTGGCCTCAAACTCGTGGCGATCCTCCTGCCTCAGCCTCCTGAGTGCTGGGATCACAGGCATGCGCCACCATGCCCAGCAAGAGAAGCCTTTTGACTTCAGGTATACCAACTACTGAAGCAAATAGTTACAATGGAAACAAACACAGCCTCCTATAACACAGCACTGAATGTATCTGTATTACCAAATCCCCTACCTTACAGTTAAAATCCACGTTCCTGGTCTCTGCATCAACTATTAATTTTCTTAGCAAACAGATTAAAAATGGGATTAAATAACAAGGCAAAAACAAGTTTTCTGTTAGCAGGTACAGATTACCAAAGAAAATGAGCATTAAAATTTTGGGGTCTAAAATCTGGACAAATCTCTGAGCACAGAGGTTACAAAAACAGAATGACCATCAGAAGAGGTCCTGGGAAATAGAAGATAACCCTCACCATCATGTCATGCTGCCGGTGTGCGAGATTCTTTCTTATTTGCTTGAGATGGACTTGGGTCACATTGTCTTTTAGGGCTCTAAAGCAAAAATTCTATGTAAAGAACACAAGTGATTATACAGAGTCAGTAGTGTTTACAGAAGCAAGTACAGGCAAAGGAAAACACTGTCTGAAATCAGAGGGTGAAAAGCTCAGGGCCACTCCAATCTTCCCGAGTTTCTTTGCTCTGGGATTTAACCAGGAGCATAATACAAGTAGGCACTCACTAATACTGGCTAAACCAATCCCCATGGTTCATAGTACTGCACAAGAACAAACACACCCTCACCTCTGACCAAGAGGATCCCATGACCTAGATGACAAGTCTACAGACAGAGATCAAACATCAATTATTGCCTCTCAAAAAAAAAGTGCAGGCATTCATTTTGCCTATGGTAGGTTTTGCTTTTTTTTTGGTATCAGGGATCGAACTGAGGACCTTGTGCTTGCAAGGCAGGCACAGCGCCACTGAGCTAAATCCCCAGCCAGGTTTTGCTTTTGTTTTTTACCATGTAAAAGTAACTGCATACATTTTTGTAATTATAAATGCAGTTTGGCTAGAGTGGAATAAAAGGAATCCCTGGGGATGAGGCGCTTGGGGTGGGCCACTGCCTCCAAGCTCCATCAATAATGCCTCATATATGACCTAAGCAAAGCCCATTTGCCCCCACTGCCCTGCACCTGGGCTTCAGTTTTCTGAGACAAAAGTGAAGAGGTTAGAAGGTTAGAGGTTTTCATTCTGTGTTCTGTGGAATCAAAGAGGCCTCTCAAAGACTTTAAAGATATATGGTAAGGGTTGGGGAGAGGTGCCAGCAGAACCAGAACTTGCTCCCCAGACCTTGATTCAAGCTCAGCATTGTGTCTTTGAGCTCTGTTACAAATTAGGCTCCACCATTAAAAAGGGGTCCCACCATGTAGAAACCCCCAGGATTAGATTATCTCTAAGCTCCAAATCCCTCTGACCCCACACCATTAATTTATCTGATCCACAATGCAATCAGGGATATTCACAATGAAAAGAGGGATTTGTGCCTGAACTTAACTCAGAAGTGGCTGTATACTATGAGGCAGTACAGGAGAGGATCCCTCAATACAGATGCAATCAAGGCTGAGGAGCAAAACCGAGTGAGACTGCAGGGCTCTTACCAGCAGGCTGTGCTGCTGGTGCCGTTCTCCCACTTCACGCTGGGCAATTTCTTCTGTACACAGTGACACATCTGCAGGAGGTTAAGGCCTCTGGTCTTCACATGGTTCTACTCCTACACCATTTCTCCAAGACCCACATGAAGGCTCATGGCTGTAGAAGTAACAGGCCTGCCAGGTGGGCTGATCTCCTGTTTCCTTGTGGTGACACAAGGAAGCAGTGGGAAAAGGGGAACTATTGTGAGTTCCTACCAAACAGATGGCCTTGTCTTTCTTCCCTAGGATGCCCATTTGATGAGAAGTGACAAGTACCTGAGATTAAGTTGCCACCAATTTTAGTTAACATTTCAAAGTCACCATATCGCAAGCATAACTTGATCCTTCTCTGCATTTTGCTATCATGTTCCAGTCAGATGTTTGAGCTAAAAACCTGAGTTATTTTCAAAACCATTTTTCTCCCACTCTCTCTAATCCACTCAGACACCCAGCCCATCTGCTCTCCTCCTAAACCTGTCCTGTCTCTATCTCCTGTTGTTCTCTGTCCCTGCAGTTCGCAAGACTTGTCCCTCACAGACTGGTAAGTATGACTCTACACAAGAACTTGTCTTCCTGAGGAGGCCTCTCTTCTCTAAGGCAGAAATGTTCTTTCTACAGCACACATCTCACTGCACTGCTCCTCTTCATGAACACATCCAGAGGCTCCCCAATACCATTAGGGTAAAGCCCAGTGTCTTCAGCACTGTACACAAGGGCCTTATAAGTCAGTCCCCAGTGTGCATTGATTCTCTCACCAGCCAGCCATACCCAGCACCTCTCCACAGGCTCTTGAATACTTTTCCTTATCTGTAAACCTGTGTAAACACTGCTCCTTCCAACTGAAATTCTGTTCCCAACCTCTTTGCCAGGAGAACTTGTCATCTCTAAGGTTTATATTCAACTCAAACATTACCTCCTTGCCTGAATCTCCATAGTGGCTCTCACGGAATTTGACACAAATCTTCACGACCGCACTTTTTGCTAAACCATATTGTTAAAATTCTTTATCGTGTCTATTTTCCCCATGAGACAACAAATGCTGTTACTATCTTTGAGTTTCCCTGTAAAGCAGCACTTAAGCGGGACTTTAACACAAAAAAGGACTTTCTCTAACTAACAAACGAATGTGTGGATAAATATTAAGGGCAGTCCAAATTCTCACACTTGAACATAGTGTGGTAGGGACAGTGATTAAGAACATTTGCAGGGCCGGGGATTTAGCTCAGTGGTGCTGCGCCTGCCTTGCAAGCACAAGGTCCTGAGTTCAATGCCCAGTACCAAAAATCCCCCCACAAAAACATGTGCGTAGATGTAAAGATCTAGGTTCTACCAATGACTTACCATCATGCTTGAATGAGACCTTCACAAGCAAACAGACCACTTTCTGAAAACAACAGGGTACTAGGACAGATGGCCATAAAGAAAATTTAGGGCGGAATACACAATCTCCCTGAAAGTCCAGTGATTATCTGTACACCTGTGATGACCATCTTTGGACCCTCAATCATAAGCATTCCTTATGATCATGCTCCCTTTTGAAGTCCTATATAAGTCTAATTCCCTTCTCAGCTAACTGGTAATATCTCTCTCTTCTCTCAGCTAGCTGCTGGTATCTCTCTTAATGTCAGCCCATCCACACATAGATGTAATAAATTCAGCTCTTCCCAGCTAACTGCTGATATCTGCCCCCAATTTCAGTTTCTATTCACACCTGGACCGGAATAAACCTTTTTTCTCACAAAGCCTGTCTCCAAGTGGCCTCACACATGCCGTTTATAACACTGTGACTCAGAAAATCACTTAGCCTCTTAAATCTGCTTCTCATCTATAAATGGAGACAGTGACACCAACTGTACAAGATTGTTGCAAGAATTGAGAATAATGCATAATGCCTGCAAATACTGACAGTTCAAATAAATGGAAGTTATAATCATGGGATGGTGTCACTAAGAAACAGACTCATACTAGGCATAGTGGTGCATACCTGTAATCTCAGCACTCAAGAAGTTGATGCAGGAGGATCACCATGAGTTCAAGGGCAGCTTTAGCTACATAGTGTGTTCAAGGCAGCCTGAACTACATAGCAAGACCCTGTCTCAGAACAACAACAACAGCAAAGAAACACATTGGTGTGGCTGGCTATTTCCACGACCTAATAGAAAACGAACAGTAACAGAAGAAATAAAGGACAAAACTATCTGGGGCAGGGTGAGGGGGTGTCAACAAAAGGCTTGCAATTTGGGAGGAGCACCAGGGTTGCTATCAATATTCTCTTTTTAATTTGGTCATTGGTTCATTTTATTATTATTTATTAAACTATAAATATATGTTGAAAGTATTCTTTGTTTGCAAAGCCCCAGTCAAACCACCTTTAAAGAAATCAACACAGATAAAGCTGTTTTAAATTGGTCAGTGCTTCCTCTTTTTTCTTTTAGTACCAGGGATCGAACTCACGTCCTTGCGCCTGCACAGCAGGCGGTGAAACCACTGAGCTAAAATCCCCGGCCCACTTGCTTCTTCTTGATACTCGTTTTACACACAGTTGAGCACAGGCTATATTGCCTGAGGTGGCTGACAGGCCTGGGGAGCTGAAAAGGATACAGCGTCTCCAGTGCAAGAAGGCTCTCCGCAGTGCCATCTTCCTGGCCAGCTCTTCCACTAGGGCCTGGTGGGCATACAAGCTCTGCCTCTGCTCCCAGGCCCACCGCCAGTCACAGAAGTGTATCTGGAGCACAGTGACACGATGCAATTGCTCAGCCATCTCTGCAACAGAAAAATGTAACTTAGGTGCTGCTCTCCCCAGTCGGGAGATGAGCGGGAAGAATCTGTAAGATGAAGTAAACCCCACTCCTGGCCAAGAGCAGAGATTCAAGGTTCCTCCCACAAAGAATCCTTACAGGTTTTTAGGCTGGGGATGTGGTTCACTGGTAGAGAACACCCGTAGTATATTTGAGGCCCTAAGTTTTATCCCAATATACCCTCACCCCAAAGTTTAAATATCAGAAGGTAGGTAATCAGGAATCCCTGAGTTACCTCTTCTTTCTCCAAGGAAAAAGAAAGGCTGATGATTTAGGGAGGAGGGTGACATAAAATCAGTTCTATCCAAGGGCTGACACTTGTAGTTAACTACCAGTGAATAGGAATGGCAACTGATGCTTTCAAAGAAGGCTGTTTTACTTCTGCATCTATGTGGATGACCCCTGGACAGGACTTGGGAACTGAGCTGATGACATACAGCCCTTGTGGCAGTGTGGCAAAGGCCTTCTTGAGCTTTCAGACTGGCTGATCCTGGCTGCCAGGTGCATCTCTTTTGAAAATTAGTCAGCTAATGCCCTGATGAGTGAAAGCCCGGGAAGTAGGAAGCAATCAATTCTAGAACTGTAATGTTGTAACTGGAGTAAGCGTTACTCTGTAGCTCATCATGTTAAACAGCTCATGCCTTCATCTTCCAGCCCTGGGCAACTGCATGTTTGGTCTGCTGTCACTATCTTCAGACACTATGAAACTCTCCCCAGAAAGTGTTGGCAGCTTAGGATATTTCTGCGAGGGACATGGGCAAAAGCTGGAAAGCATATCCAGTGTCTAGCACACTGCTTGACTTTTCTGTAAACTCAATAAACTTAGGTACAGCTGGTCATGGTTGTACACACCTGTAATTCCAGCACTTGGGAGGCTGAGGCAGGAAGATCACCACAAGTTTGAGGCCAGCCTGGGCTACACAGTGAGTTCAAGGCCAGCCTGAACTACTGTCTCAAAAAACCAAAAAAAGGGCCAGGGATGTAGCTCAGTGGTGCTGAACCTGCCTGGCAAGTGCAAGGTCCTGAGTTCAATTCCCAGTACCACAAAAATAAATAAATAAATAAAAATAAATAAATTTAAGTAAAAAATGTACACCAATGATCATGTTCCTAAAATGCCATTACTTCTGAAACTAGCTGAGAGACTAAACCACAGGAATAGTATCAAAAAAAAATCATAAATCACATCCATTTATATAACTGAGGACAAATAGAAACAATTGAAGTACCTATCATTAGAAGATTAAATAAAGGTAAGCCATCCTATATAATAGGAATATTTATTTACACATATTTATGAAAAATATAACATTTATGATGAATAGACATAGTACAGTATAAAAAAGCATAATATAAAAATGTAGGTAACAAATTAATCACAATATCAACAGCCTTGTCCAACATAAAGTATATGCTTTAATCACCATTAGAATCTTATTTAAATAAAATAAGTTCAAAGTCAGCTTGAACTACATAGTAAGATCTTCTCTCAACAAACAAACAACAACAAAACTCCATAAAGAGAATGAAAACAGAATGATGTAGTTTTCTCAATTTCCTTTCACAAAAATTTGTGACTAGGGCTGGGGATTTAGCTCAGTGGCACTACGCCTGCCTTGCAAGCACAAGGTCCTGAGTTCGATCCCCAGTACCAAAAAAAAAAATTGTGGCTATATTTCTTCATTAAGTACCATTGGCAACAGGAAGGTGAACGGATCTTGTGCCCAACTTCTCTGTCTTGGGCACAGGGGCTTCCTACTTACCATTCTGCTGTTTCTTTACTCTGTGCATGTTCAGGTATTCAAGCCAGGCCCTCAGGGACTTCCTCTTTTGCCACCACTGATGATGTTGTACTGCTAAGACCACCTTCCATCTCTCCCTCTGGCTCAGCAGGAGCTGTTCCTTCCACTGAGACCAAGCCTGAAAGCCAGAATGAAGACATGGTAAAGGGAGAGGCAGGAAAATGGGGGAAGTGCAAGTGAGGGGGTAAAAGAAACAAAAGACACACTGGAAAGGCTGAAAAGGGAAACAGGCAGTGGTAATTTCCTACCAGCGTCATAAGCTATGGGAATCTGGAGTGAAAAGATCTTTAAGAACAGCATTCTGCTTCCAGAAAGTAATGTGTTTATGAATTCAGGGAAGCTTGGGGTGTAGTTTAGCAGTACAGTGTGTGTGCACACACACAATAAAGTCTTCGTGCAGACAAGAAGCAGAGACAATGTGACAGGGATATAATTACTTCAGATTTGGGATAGGTGAGGGGCTGCCTATTCTTCTGAAGGGAGGAAGCCTGTGAAGAAGCTCTCAGACAGATTTGTCTCAGGGAAGTATATCTATACAAAATGAAGGTCTGGAAGAAAATTTAAGACTATCTATAAACAGCTGGGTGTGGTGGCACACATCTGTAATCCCTAGCACCCAGCAAACACCTGTAATACACAGCCCAGAGGCTGAGGCAGGAGGATCACTGTGAGTTCAAGGCCAGCCTGAACTATATGAGACCCTCAAAAAAAAAAAAAAAAAAAAAAAAAAAAAAAGACTATAAACATAAACTATAAACACCCCTTAGGAAAGACTATAAGACTATAAACACCCCTTAGGAAAGTCTTCATGTATGTTCAGCAATAATATGTGTCCTAGTTTGAAGATGACTCAGACAACAACTTCACATCTTTCTTTTAATGGTAGCAAACTTTTATTAAAGGTAGGAAAAGAAACAGGCTTTGCAGAGCAAGTTTGGGCAAAGTGAAACTAGGAAAAGGAGTATACCCTACAGTGTGAAAGTGGGTCATCCATGCAAAAGAGAACACAGTGGCCTGTACCCTCTTTTCTTAAACCTGTAATACCTCTGCTTCCCTTCCTCTCAGATGACTACCACTCTTCCTATTCCACCAAGAAAATAAAAGCAATCAAGAAAGAATTTCCTCCAGGCCCCACCACGTGTTACGCCCACCAATCTATCACCTCTGTCTTTTCTCCTACTCTGGATAAACTATCCACACTCCCATCAAAGATCACCTTCCATTATGGCTACATCCCATCTTCCCTCACCCTCTCAACTTTATTGCTCTGGAAATCATTACTTTACTGCACCCTCAGTTTTCACTTTTTACTAAATTTTATTTTATTTTACTTTAATTTTAATTTATTTTTTGGTACCGGGGATCGAACTTGGGACCTTGCGCTTGCGAGGCAGGCGTTGGAACCACTGAGCTAAATCCATGGCCCTTTTTTACTAAATTTTAAAAGTCAGTAGGTAAATGTACTATTATTTCTCCAAAAATGTCCTTTTAAGATGTGATGATGATCGGGCCAGGAATTTAGTTCAGTGGTTCTGCTGGCTTGCCTCAAAAGTGCAAGGACTCAAGTTCGATCCCTAGTACCAAAACAACAACAAAAAAGATGTGATGATGATCATAAGCAATGGGTAAACTCTAACTGGACTCTGTACTAAACACAAAAATAACAACACAGGCCGGGGATTTACCTCAGCGGTTTCGCTGCCTGCTGCGCAAGCGCAAGGACCCGAGTTCAATCCTCGGTACCCAAAAAAAAAGTAAAAAAAGGGCTAGAGATGTAGCTCAGCATGAAAACCCTGGGTTCCATCCCCTAAAAAAAAAAAAAAAGTAACAATACATAGTTTTAATATGAACTGTATACCATATATTATTGTATCAATATTAAATGTCTTAGATCTACTGATAGAATGTCCTTGGTTTTAGAAGATACAAGTGAGGTATTTAGCATAAACTTTAGGCCTACAATTTCAAGTGGCTTGGAAAAAATAAATAATAAGCCCTCCGTTTTTTTTTAAGAGTAGGAACAAATGGGCTGGGGATTTAGCTCAGTGGTTCTAGCGCCTGCCACACAAGCACAAGGCCCCAAGTTCGATCTCTGGTATCAAAAAAAAAGGAGTAGGAACAATTTATTGAAAGAAAGATAGCTTCTAAGAGAGGCAGAAGGGAGGTGGGAAGTGGGTTGCCCCAATAAGCCCTTATTCATAGACTTGGGTCAGTCAATCCGCGGACAAGAACACGCAGGCTATACAAAGACCCAGAGATAGAGTATTCTAGAATCCTGGGAAGCCAACAGGCTAAAAATAACTACAGAGAGAAACAGAGGGAGGAGGGAAGGGGGGCAACAGGTGTGAGATGAAATCGATTGCTCAGGATAGACTGTGAACCCCGGATCCTGGGCAAAGGGAGATGGAGTGAGGGACTCCTGCGAGCTAGGAATAAAAACACATAACTTCTCAACTAGAGTGTGCCTGTCTCTGTATATGTGCCACTCTTGCAGGAGTTTGGATTAAAAGCCTCACTTTCGCTGCCTCTGGATTCCAACTTTTTTTCGGGGGAGGGATCTGGACAAGTGAGATCATTTCTTACACATTTATATACCTAAGAAGGAAAAAGCACACATGGCAAGATGTTAACAATGGGTTAAACTGGGTGAAGTATATGCAGTATTCATTTTTCAGTGCTTTAATAGTTGTCAAAAATAAAAAGTTTGGGGGAAAAGGTTACTGTCACAAAAATACTTCCTGAAAGGCACAAGTGATTCTCAGTAAAAGCAACCCTTCAACAGAGAGTGCACTTTGCAACGCAGCCAACACTCTAGTTCTTTATTTCCCAAGCTCCTCAAAAGAGCTATCCCTCCACCTTCTCCCACTGCAGGCTGTTCCTAAACCTACTCCTGTCAGCTTTTATCAGTTTTATCAACGATCTCCACTTGCTCAATCCAAAGGTCAAAACTGCTCTTACCTTTCCTCACCTGCCAGTGTCTGACATGACAGATCACTCCTTTCTTCTTAGTCTGGTTTCTATACCTGTAGGCATTTTCTTATTCCTATTGCTGACTTTATAGGCTGAGTCTTGAAACTTCTCTTCTAACTTCATTCATTCCCTTTTTTCTTCCATCTTAGTTTCATGGGTTTGAATACCACATGCCTGCTGAGGACTCCCAGGTGTAGGTGCCCTGCCTAGAGCCTTCTTCAATACTCTAGACATATAACCCACTGTCTCCTTGACATCATGCCATAGAGGGATACTCAAAAACCCCATCAGGCTGAGGATATGGAGTTCAGAGTTATTCCCAACACTTCCTCAGCAAGCTGCTTCTCTCTCTCAGTCATACTCATTTCAGTAAATGGAAACTCCATTGTTCTAGCTCTTTAGCCCAACTTAGGAGTCATCTTGAACTTTAAAACTTTTCATATTATTTATGTTAGCAAATCCTATTGTCTACTCCTTCCACATATATCCAGAATCTAACTACCATCTTGCTATTATCCTTGTCCAAAATCTTGCCTGGAAATTTTTTTTTTTGGTACCCGGGATCGAACTCAGGACCTTGCACTTGTGAGGAAGGCTCAGTGCCACTGAGCTAAATCCCCAGCTCCCACCTGGAATTTTTTAACAGTATTTTTGTTTCCGTTTTTCAGTGGTGGTGATCAAACCCAAGCCCTCACACATGCTAGGTAAGCACTCTACTGAGTGCACTGAGCCACACCCTCAGTTTTCTCCCTCTTTTTTACCCTAGATCTTTTCTGGTCTATTCCCAACACCACAGCCAGTGCGGTCCCTTTTGATTTGGTTTGGTCTTCATGTCACTTAAATCTCTTTTATATAACAACTTGCCTCCCCGATCTTTTTCTCTTTTGTGTCAGTATTAAAGAAACCAAGTCCTTTCTCCTATAAAATGTTCCACATTTTTCACTTGATGGTCTCAAGGTATCTTTAACTTGTTCTGCTAATGACTGCATTTCCCATAAGTTGACAGATTCATGTTAGGCTTAGCTGGAGTCATGTTCAATTTGGGGGACAATATTTCACGAGTGTGGCTGAGCAATTCCTGTTCTAATGTGCTATGAGGCATGTCATGTCTGGCTGCCACAATTGTTACAATACTGAGATGGTTTGGTGGCTTCAGATAGGAGTTAGCTTGAGGTCTCTATTATGTTTCCTATCATCCTTTCACCTGGTGATTGCTACCTAGATCCATGTCCTTATGAGGGTTGGCAAAACATCAGTTTTCTAAGTCTAATATTCCTGCTGTATTTATTACTGGAATTCTTCTATAAAGAAGTCTTCTTTCTCATTAACCATTTGGTTTAGTGGAGACACAGACTATACAAGAAAGGTGGGATGTATGCCTAATTTTGTTGCCTTAATTTTTTTTTTTTTTTTTGGTACCGGGGATTGAACTCGGGACCTTGGGCTTGCAAAACAGGCAGTGGAACCACTGAGTTAAATCCTCAGTCCCCCAATTTTTTTTTCCTTTGGTACTGGGGATTGAACTCAGGACCTTGGGATTGCAAGGCACGTGGCGGAACCACTGAGCTAAATCCCCAGCTCTGTCTTCACTGATTTTTCAAATAACTGAGTTAATGCCCTAATGATGCAGAACAATGACCAACAAGTAGTTTTAAAAAATCATTTTCAATGCATGAATTTTTTGATACTTGGTATTTTTCAATCTCTTGCAGTATTCTTTTTCAAAGCCCCAATTTTTCTATCTTAAGGCCATGGGAGCCCTTTCAAACTCACTCTTGAATCCCTGACACAATTCCGTTAGTTTGTTAATTTCCTCACTTTTTGCCACACTACATCCTCAGCTTATTTTGTCTATTTCTTGCCCCAGAACTACAAGCAGCATTTTTCAGAAAAGGGCCTCACTCCTTTCAGAGTGAAATAGTAGAAACAACAACTTGGGCACTTAGGATACTAAATGTTATACTACTGTCACTGTTCTAAGTCTTTTCAACAAAAGATTCAAAACCACATTTTTAAAGACAAAACAAAACCATGGGTCCATACTGATATTCAGACATCTAATTATAGCTTACAGGACTTTTATTTAATTTTCTTGATTTTATACTTATAATCTTTTCTTTTACACTGAAAATCCTGTTTCCTAAAAACAGCATCATAGTAATTTGCTTCATCTTACAATGTAGTTATAACAATTTTAACACAATTCTAAACCTGCTAGTAAAAGGCAAAAAAGGTATACTAAAATTTATATCTGAAGAGAAACCAAAGTATTCTAAACCTGATGGTAACAGTAAGACCACTAAACACAGTTTTAGATGTGTTAGTGGTTTTTTTATGTCCTTAGAATACATTCTACTAGTAATGAACAGTCAAAATATATAATAAATACTTTATAAAGTTCTTTGAAGTAATTACTTTTGTGTAGTTATTGCCACAAATTGATGTTTGTTTTAGTTTGCTTTAAAATTCTAGGGGTTGGACCAGGGATTTAGCTCAGGGGTTCCATCGCCTGCCTCCCAAACACAAGGTCCCGAGTTCAATTCCTGGTATCAAAAAAAAATTAAATTAAATTAAAAAATAAAATTCTAGGGATTGCTGGGGATTTAGCTCAGTGGTTTCACTGCCTGTTGCACAAGCGCAAGGACCCGAGTTCGATCCCCAGTACAAAAAAAAAAAAATTGGTATATATACAAAAAAGAATTCTGGAGCAAGTATAGAAAATCTAATATCTTTTGAATCTGGGTGGGGGTATCTGGATACACGTTAATACTGTTTTTTGGGCCAGGGATTTAGCTCAGTGGTTTCGCCACCTGCTGCACAAACACAAGGACCCAAGTTTGATCCCCGATACAAAAAAATAAATAAATAATTAAAAAATATACTGGTTTTTGTGTATGTGTGTGCCAGAGATCGCACTCAGGACCTCATGTTTGTCAGGCAGGCACTGTGCCACTGAGCTAAATCCCGGCCCTGTTAATAGTCTTATAAATGTTTTTATTTTATATCTTCCTACATTTGAAATATCTAAACTTAATTTTTAAAACTCTCACATCTCATAATGTCCACTTTGATCTATCTAGTTCGGAGATGCTGGCAAGGTTAAGAAAAATTACTTAAGTGTAAGTGCCTATGTGTACTTAAGTGCTAAGTACCTACCATATGGTAGGTACACAATCGGCACAATGAAGTCAGTCTTACTTAAACCCTCATCTAGTTTTTGGTTTGTGTCAATACTACCTTGATTACTCACATTTTTCATTGGATTTGACTCTGAATGACTTTTGGCTATTGATACAAGTTAAATCCAACCTCAAATCATGAAAACCTGTTATCACTAAAAATATTCAATCAAATTTGTTGTTGAAAGCTTGGAAGAAAACAGCAAAAAGGGAATTTAAAACATGTTCTGTGTAGGGCCAGGGATTTGGCTCAGTGGCACCATGCCTGCCTTGCAAGTGCTAGGTCCTGAGTTCAATTCCCGGTACAAAAAAAAAAGTTCTATGTAATGATAGTATCAGTAGAATGAGTTTAGCTTCTCAAAGTGCCTATTTGAAAGGAAAGAACACACAGTTGTCCATCAATGACAGAAAATCACTATCATTACACTCGTTTCATTTACAATATTCTCCCATTTGTCAGTTCCCTCTCCCTTTAGAAGTTTCAAGTCTGGTAAGAACAATTCAGTGATTAAGAGTGATGACTTTACAATTTTCAGGCTACTTAAGTCATATCCTGGCTCTGACCTCTGCTTCCAGTATGATCTCAATCCAAGTTAACCTTCCTAGTTTTCTCAACAAATAAAGGGTTAAAAAAAAAAGGAATTATGAGAATCAAATGAGATAATGTATGTAAAACATTTTAATCCAGCAAGTAGCACAAGTAAGACCACAATGATGCTATTGCTGGGCTAGGGGGATTGCTCAGTGGTAGAACACTTGCCTATCATATATATGGCCCTAGATTTGATCCTCAACCACACAAACACACACCTGTTTCTGTTCCTGTTTTGTTTTTTTTTTCTGTTGCTGTTTTTGCAACAACTGTGTCTTATTTCCTTGTTACTGCCCTCAGACGGCCTTCTGAGTTTAGCAGTCAGCAAGGTTTTTCTTAAAGGGTCAGACAACAAATATTTTAATCTTTGCTGGCCATATGGTCTCTGTTGCAACTATTCAACTCTGTCTGCTCTTGTAGCCTAAAAGTGCTCCCCAATAATATATAAATGAATAGATGTAGTGGTGTTCCAATAAAACTTCATTTACAAAAACAGAAATCAAGACAAATTTGGTCTGTGGGCCAGAGTTGGTTGATCTTTGATTTAGATGAATACACATGATTTTTAAAATTTTCCTTATTGTTTGGTGCTGGGTATTGAGTCTAGGGCCTCACACAAATTTAACCTACACTCTCCCATTGAGTTACACTCTTAGTCCTATACTGTAAATGCTATTGGCATGTAATCTGCATATACTTGCATAGACTATGAAATATGTTGTCAAATTAAAAAGATACTACTCCCACATTTAGTAACAGGTACTTTACTGTTTTTTTTTTTTTTTTCTCTTACCGTTCTATTTTCTGACTTGGCAGCCCTATAAGTACCCAACAGACACAAAAAACAACAAAATTCAAAGAGATGTCAAAGGTCGTAAGAAAGTTTTTACCACACCATAGTTTTGTATAGGTTGTACAGGCCGTTAGTCTTTATAACTGACCCAAATCTACTGGCTTCCATAAAAGAAACCCCTGAGGCAAAAGTAGAAGGAAAAAGAAGCAGGGTTGGTTTTTTTTGGTACCGGGGATCAAACCTGGGACCTTGAGCTTTCGAGGCAGGCAGCGGAACCACTGAGCTAAATCCCCAGGCCAAAAGCAGGGTTTTTGATCTTAAGTTTCTTTTCAGCTGACATTAGTTCCTTCCTTTCTTTTTTTTTTTTAGCAGCAGTACTGGGAATCAAACCCAGGGACACTACCACTGAGCTACATCCCCAGTCCTTTTTGTTTTTTGAGACAGTCCTCTTGCTTCAGCCTCCCTCAGTGGTGGGATTACCGGCATGCACCAACAGTCTTGGATAATACCTACATTATTTTCTAATTTGCTGTAGAAAGTAGTAATGAGAAAATAAGTCTATCACTGTCTCTTTAGTTTGTAATGAATTCCTAAATCCCTTTTGGCTCCAAAGTTATCAGAAATTCTCTACAAACCATGGGAATCACATCTAAGACAAATACCTTTATATTCCTAACAGCAGTAATTTGTCAAAGAGCTTAGCCATCTTCCATCCTGCTTCTCCCCACACCCTCTCTAATCACCACCTGAGCTGTGCTCCAAGTGGGAGGCAATAGCAGGATTTCTTCCCACTGGGAGTCTGACTCTGCCCTCTATGGGTGTAGGGTTTCATAACAAGGACAGAAGATGTCAAACATGAGTCTGGTGGACTCACCTGCAGCTTGAGGCTGAAGGCCCTGTGCTTCAAAGCTGTGCCGCAGAAAGCATGGTTCATGTGGGCCTGTCCTAATTGCTGCCTCCACTTGCTCCACCACATCCTGAAAGAGCAAATCAAAGATGGAACAGGTCAGCCTGGGCATGGTGGCACACGCCTGTAATTCTAGCACTCAGGAGGCTGAGGCAGGAGGATCACTGTAGTTCAGGCTGACCTCAAACTCAAAAAGTGAGTACAAGGGCCAGGGATTTAGCTCAATGGTGCCACGCCTGCCTCGCAAGTGCAAGGTCCTGAGTTTGATCCGTGGTACCAAAAAAAAAAAGTGAGTTAAAGTCCAGCCTGAACTGCATAGCAAAATCCTGTCACAAAAAGACAACAAAAAAAGGGCTGGGGATTTAGCTCAATGGTGCCACTGCCTGCCTCAAAAGTGCAAGGTCCAGAGTTCAATTCCTGGTACCAAAAAAAAAAAAAAAATCAGGAGATTTTATTGAATAATCTGGAAAAAAAAAAAGAAGTGGATTTTAGATTTCTAGTCTTGCTGGATCCTTTCTCTTCTCACTGTCCTGGCTAGGTTTTCATGTCAGTCTTCGTTTCTTTTCCACTTTGCTGTAGAAAAAGAAAGTAAGAGCGTGCAAACACTGCTTTACAAAAACAACTTGCTTGGCTTGGTCACTCTATTCACAAAGACTCTTCTCTTCCTCCTACCACAGAGCATGCTTACTTTTATCACTTGCTTCAAAATCTTCAGCTACCTTTCATTATCACTTTTAAGCACTTAAGGAATTATAAGTTCTCTGAATGTAGGCACAACACCAATATGGTACCAGAACATTTTTAGCTCTCAACAGAAACACACTGAGTAAATAAATTATATAAAATTATGCCCCATAAACTCAAGTAGAACTGAATACTAATTAAGTCTTTTTAAATACTTGCTGAATAAAGTTCAAGTAACTTTTTACTTAAATAACTTCATGTTTACTGATTTTCTCAACACTGCTAACTACTTTACACATATTACCTTACATATTCCCGGGGACCATTCTGAAAAACAGTTAACAGTGTGCCTATTTCACAGATAAGAAGACTTGGAGAGGGGAAATACTCCAACAGTCCAGGTATCAGCAAAGCTATCTATGCTTTATTCAGTGTCTAGGCAGCCAGGTCTCAGCAGGGAGTCCTTTTTTTTTGTGGAATTGGGAATTGGACCTAGGGCCTTCACACTGAGCTATACCCCCAGCTTGTCTTTCCTTCCTTTTCTCCTTCCTTCATTTAGAGGCAGGGTCTTGTTAAGTTGCCTAGCCTGAGTTGAAACTTGTAATTCTTTTTTGGTACCGGGGATCAAACTCTGGTCCTTGCGCTTGCGAGGCAGGCAGTGGAACCACTGAGCTAAATCCCCGGTCCCAGAACTTGTAATTCTTTTTGCCTCAGCCTCACAAAGTGCTGGAATTACAGGCATGTGTGAACATGCCTGGCTCAAGTTTCTAGTACAGGACACAGAGAATGTCAAGAGACAGGGAAATCAGTCCATTATAAAGCAGTTCATTGTTACAGTTCATTGTACCCCCTTCCCTTCCTCTTCTAGGAGTGGGAGTATCACCTTCCCCTCCCCTTCCTGGAATAAGGATTCCTCCACCTCCTCCCCTTCCTGGAGTAGGGATTCCTCCATCTCCTCCCCTTCCTGGAGTTGGGATCCCTCCACCTCCTCCATTGTCAGAGACTCCAGTCCTTCACTTATTTGGGAAAAAATTGAAGAGCCATCCATAGATTGTCGTGAATTTGAGGAATTATTTTTTTAAACTGCTGTAAAGGAGAGAAAGAAACATACTTCTGACACCATCTCAAAGATAAAGGCCAAACAAGTTGTCAAGCTATTAAGCCACAAAAGATCACAAGCAGTTGGAATAATGTCTAGTCTTTAGATACAAAATTGGGGGATAAACTGGATCTATCATAATCTATTAAGAAAACACACTTGGGCCAGGGATTTAGCTCAGTGGTGCTGTTGCCTGCCTCGCAAGCACAAGGTCCTGAGTTCAATCCTCAGTACCAAAAAAGAAAAAAAAAGAAAACATACTTGCTTGTGTAGTTTGACATGATCAGGGCTATCATGATGAGTTACATCAGGTGATTAAAGCTGTAAGTGAGAATGATTCATTATCAGAAGAATCAGGGAAGGATTTTATTTTACTTTGAGGAAAAATACATAAATTTTCCACTCTGAGAGTATTTTAAAATCAGCTCGTGATACATTTTGACATTTGTATCTAACACTAATAGTTGTTTTTATTTTTTTATTGCTATTAATGATACTAGTTGAGGGTTATGGTTGTAGAAAAAGGAAAGAATTGATTGCTTTTGCAAACCAATTATGGAAAGCAATTTTATCTATTTTTTGGGGGGAGCAATTTTAAAAAGATAAAACAATGTTCTAAATCATAACAATGTTTTTATTTAAAGTATAGTATCTTACCTTTTAGTTCATAGTTTAAAGTGCAAAGAAACAGTAGCAGTTTTCTGTTGTTTTGTAGTCTTCCTGTCTTCTTAGTCCCTTCAATGTATGTATTACCATTCTTCAATGAAGTGACAGGGCATTTAAAAAAGATCGCTCAGTGCAATACTGTATGTGGTATTTCTAATTTTTTTTTGTTTGGTACCAGGGATCGAACTCAGGACCTTGCACTTGCAAGGCAGGCACAGTGCCACTGAGCTAAATCCCCAGCCCTCTATTTCAATGTTTTTAGGATGTTAATTTATATGAAAATAAAATGAATTTTTTAAAAGTAGATTAACTCAACGTGTTCACAATTCTAATGAGATGAAGTACAGAGCAGCAGTTAAGAGAAAGGGTGGGGGATCCCCAGTTTTGCCAATTACAACTTGTCTGAGGTCAATTTACTCAACCTTTCTGAGCTTTACTGTACATTTTAATCTGCATAATAACTGACCTTGAAGTTTATGGTAAGCATTAAACCAGACATTTCACATCAAATACACATAAACTTACAAGATTTAGAGCATAAGTACTCAATTAGTATTAATTGTGATTATGTGAAAACGTGATCTTACAATTGAATAAATTAGTAATACATATAGTTATTAGGCATCGACTGTGTTCAGAAACATTGTCTTCCCCTGCCTCTTCATGGCAGTTGGGGTACCTCTTCAGAGGGGATAATATTATAGACAGTTAAGTTAGGTAAAAATATTGTAGGCAGTCAGACAGGGCTGGGCCCTTGAGAAAGTCAGTGCAGAAGATGAAAATATATCAAAACTGTGGCTGAAGGTGCATCTGAAGAAGATTAAACTCACAATGGCCAGATTTACATACTTCCCTAAGGGACAAATGGAAGCTTGAGACTATCGGAACCAACCTTTTGAGATTTCCCATATTGGGGATTTAGCTCAGTGGTTCCGCTGCCTGCCTCGCAAGCCTAAGGACCTGAGTTCGATCCCTGGCACCAAAAAAAAAAGAGAGAGAGATTTCCCATATAAATAAACCATTACCTCATTAGGGGTGGGCCATTCTCTCACTAAGACTAAAACTACTAGGAATAAGACTAAAGACAAGACTAAGGGCCAGGGATTTAGCTCAGTGGTTCTGGCACCTGCCTCGCAAGCGCAAGGTCCCGAGTTTGATCCCTGGTACCAAAAAAAAAAAAGACAAGACTAAGACTATAGATTATCGACCACATTAATGATGTCATTCATGTGCCCTTGCTACTTTTGGATCAATATTAGCTAAGTGGCTATACTTATAATCTTATTGGTTGATTATAATTTGACCCACTTGTACCCACCTCTTGTGACTGCTTTATAAAACTTTCTTAGATAAATTGGGCTCATTGGAAACCCACTTTTGGGTCCCCTCCTGTTTTTCAGGAGCTATCTCTTTCAATAAATTTTCCTACTCTTAAAAAAAAACATTGTTGGGGCCAGGGATTTAGCTCAGTGGTTCCACTGCCTGCCTTGCAAGCGCAAGGACCAGAGTTCAATCCCCCGGTACCATTAAAAAAAAAAAAAAAAAGAGAAACATTGTTGTAGGCTGAGCTAAAGCAGCATAAAGCTGCTAAGGTAAATAATGGCTTTTGATATGCAGGACAACTAAGCACACTTACCATAAGATACTCTGCTGGCTAAACTCCAGAGCAGTGGTATGCATCTGAAGTTTGGTCCTACGAACAGCCACGTAGATCAACCACGCCTTCCAGGCCTGTCGCATTTTTTGCTTTGCATCTAGATACACCAAACAAATTTTTTTTAAAGAGGTGGAAGAAGAATTATGACTTTGGGTTACAGTAAAAGATCAAGGGTGGGCCAGGGTTCTAGCTCAGTGGTTCCGCTGCCTGCCTTGCAAGGACCCGAGTTCAATCCCCGGTACCAAAAAAAAAAAAGATCAAGGGCTCTCTGTACTCATCCTTTTTTTTGTTTGTTTTTTGGTACGAGGCATGGAACTCGAGTCCTTGTGCTTGCACATCAGGTGGCAAAAACACTGAACTAAATCCCTGGCCCCTCATTCTTCTTTTGAATCGTTTGAATAACCAAATCCTCCCAGTCTTCAAGTGCCTCCTATTGGTAAAATTGTGAAGTGCTACAAAATTAATAAGGATGCAAGTATACATATGAAGACTGTGTTAAGCGATGATATTTATAAAACATGTACTAAACTTCTAAGAAATCCTTTATATGAAAATCAATTATCTTTAATAAACACTCTAATATTTACAGATGAAATGATGTGAATAAATAGGCAGTAGAGAAATGAGTAGGGACAAGGATAACACAAGCCTGGCAGGGGCTGATCCTGAGCATATTGCGGAACCGCCCCAGCTGGCAAGATTGTTTTGCTTTAGGATTTTTACTGGCTGCAAGCTGTGTGGGATGGACCCTGGGAGACCCTCAAGCCACACAATGGAGGCAGTGACCTTTGAGGATGTGGCCGTGAACTTCACCAGGGAGGAATGGGCTTTGTTGGATCCATTCCAAAGAAGCTCTACAGAGATGTGATGCATGAAAACTTTCGGAATCTGACTGCCATAGAAACTCAGGTCACCAGCAAATTGAACATGAGTACAAAAATAGCAGAAAAAGTCTAAGAAGTGAAGAGGTAGAAAACTAGTGTAAATATAAATTATGGTATCAACATGGAAAAATGGGTTTTTGGACACCAGATACTATCGTGCATATGAAACTTGGTGTAAAACCAGATGAAAGCCTTTCCTGTGGAAAACTCCTGATTGGTCATTCATCACCAAATGTGCCCATCATAGCTAACGCTGGACTCAAATATATGAGTATTAGGGATTTCAAGAGAAGCTGTATAACTGTAACAAATATGGGAAATCCTGCACTGACTTCCAGTCTTTTCAGAAGCATGCAAAGACATATCTTGGAGAAAAACCCTATGAATACTGTATATGAAAGGATTCTTACTGGCAAGAACCCTATGAATGTATGCAATGTGGGAAAGCTTTCATCACACACATGGATTCTCAGACATGAACGAACTCATACTGGGGAAACCATACGTATGTGAGCAATGTGGGAAAGCTTTCAGCACACACAGTGGTTTCACACGAAAGTAGTTACACTGGGGAGAAAACCTATGTATGTAAGCAATGTGGAAATGCTTTCAGCAGACCCAATAGTTGTTGAATACTTGAAAGAACTCACCGGGGAGAAACTAGGTCTGTAAGCAATGTGGGATAGCTTTCAGCATACACGGTAATTGTCAAATACATGAAAATGCTCACACTGGGGAGAATCCCTATACTGCATATGTATGCAACATGGGAAAGCTTTCAGCACATATAATGCTTGTTAAAGATATGAATAGGCCAGGGATTTAGCTCAGTGGCACCATGCCTGCCTCGAAAGCACAAGGTCCTGAGTTCAATCCCCGGTGCAAAAAAAAAAAGATACACATAAACTCACAATAGGGAGAAACTATGTATGTAAGCAATGTGGAAAAGCTTTCAACAGACAATGGTAGTTGTTGAATACATGAAAGAAATCACACTGGGGAGAAACCCTATGTGTGTAAGCAATATGGGAAAGGTTTCACCAACAGATCAAAGAAGAAACCACTGTGCTAGGAGAAATCAGTAAAAGCCATACTAGGAAAATGACATTTAAAATGGGCCTGAATACTGTTTTCTCTTCAAATCACATAAATCTTTCAATTTTTACTAAAATGGGCTTACCCCACAATGAATGTAATCCTTATGTACTGCAAACATGCACTGATTAACATTTAAAAATAATTAAGAGCCAGGCATGGTAGCACATGCCTGTAATCCCAGCACTTAGGAGGCTGAGGCAGGAGGATCACAAGTTTGAGGCCAGCCTGGGTTACACAGTGAGTTCAGGCCCAGCCCAGAGACCCTGTCTCAAACAAACAAACAAACAAACAAACACTTTTCAAAAATTAAAAAATAAAAATAAAACGGGCCTGAGGGACAGCAGGGGCAAAGATGGAAAGATAAGGAAGTACACATCCATTATGGCCAGGGGTTAGGGTGTAGGGCAGGAGACTAGGTGAAGACTTTGTTTGCTATATCAAAGAGTCTTGATTTTATTCTATAGGTAAAGAGCCAAATAAACTTTTATGCAAAAGAGTGACCTGAACATATCTATGTCTTATAACACGATGTGGAGAGGAAGAAAATATGAAAAGTACAAGGAGATGATTGAAGAGGCACACATTATACTGTGAGAAGAGAAGGATTACTCTCTGGTAGTGGCAAAGAAAAGATGATTACAAGTGATGCCTCATAGGGCTGCCTTATAAAAATTAGATAACCCATGATCTGAGGCATGAGAAACAGACAAGTCACACCTAAGTAAGCTTTCTCACTTAGGAAAAGTAGGAGGAAGAGAAGGTCTACATTGTTAGAGGAGTAGCTAAGTTGTATTTGTGACACTGAGTCTTAGGTGCATGCCGGACATTCACATGGAATGCAAGCTATATGATTATTTTGAAACTTCCCGTGGACTCGCCACTTGGATTTCTGAACTCAATTCATGAAGAAACTGGACAATGACCAAAGTAAAACTGGCCACAGGACCACCATGGGTAACCTGGGCAAAGCAGAGTAGAAATGAACTTGGTGGCTCTGCTCAACAGCCCCCTTGCAACTTGGCACATGGCAGCTAGACAGACAGCAGCTCCATGTATCACAGGAAAGACAAAATTGGCAGTTCATATCAATTCTGGTTAAATGAGCCTTAAAAGCCAAAATCATGTCATATGGGGAGAACCACAGGATCTGATAACATAGGAGTCTCTACCTGAAGATCACACATTCTGAAAACATGAAAGGAAATCAAACATATCTTCTCTTTGCCCTAGAGTTATCCTTTCTCACACACTATGGGTTTGTCCTTCACAAGAGCTTCTGTTAAAGTCATCTGGGCATTTTATTTAGATGTGTGCTTCCTTTTCTCACCATGATCCTTGGCTTTCATATACTTGCTCCTCATCTCCTGCTGCCAACGCATACAGGCCTTCCAACTTTGGAACACCAGGTTGTACAAGTAGTACCTGAGTAGCCAAAAAAGCAAATGGCATTTCTTTAAGAAAGCTCAACAAAGCAACTCCTAATCCAACATACCCAGTTTGTTCCTTACTCTCAGGAAAGTGTCGCTGACTCCTCAAAAACTACTTTCAATTTCAGCATCCACAAAGCCATAACTTTTAGGAGACTCATGTCTTAATTACCCGAGTCATCCACACTATGTAAAATATGACTTCTTTGCAATGAAAGATGGCCAATGGTGCTTTTTCTTTTTTCTTCTCCTTGATACAAATACTATGTACTTTAAGACCTTTATCCCTCTGTATTTTTACTACCCCAGTTCCTAAGACTCAATTTCAAACCCTATCAGCTTATTAGAACTATTCACTATGCCTATTTTTAACCTGAAATAGCCATGAAACATTACTCCTGCCCCAAAGAACCTAAAGTGACTATAATAATAAATACCATCATAAAGACAAAATATATGTAAGTTTTTTGGGTTTTTTTTTTTTGCAGTACCGGGGATCAAACTCAGGACCTTGAGCTTACGAGGCAGGCATGGTGCACCACTGAGCTAAATCCCCAGCCCTGTAAGTTTTATTTTTTAAAAGAAGATCTAGCCTGTAATCCCAACACTTAGAGACGCTGAGGGAGGAGGACCATGGAGCCCAGCCTGGGCAACTTAGTGACTGAGCAAGACCCTGTCTCAAAATAAAACATTTTTAAAATGGCTGGAGATGTAGTTCAGTACAAAGACCCTGGGGTTCAATCCCTAGTACCTCCCCCTCTAAAATCTAAAACGTATATTTGATATAATTCCCAATTTCTTTTGTTTGTTTTGTTTTGCTTTTTGACACAGGGTCTCACTATGTAGTTCAAGTTTACCTTGAACTCACTATGGAGCCCAGGCTGGCCTTGAACTCTAGGTAGCCCTCCTGCCTCAGCCTCCTGAGTGCTGAGATTATAGGTATGCACCACCATGCCCAGGTAATTGCCAATTTTTTACCCCTCTTCCATTCCTAGGGATGTGAATGTCAAGGATTAAGAGTTCATTTGTTCTTTTTTTCTTTCAATTGAACACAAGCCTTAAGTACTCTACCACTCAGCTAAACTCCCAACCCCTCTCTTTTTTAATGTTCCATATTAGGGATATATTTTCTCCACAAAATCAATATAAATTAGAATTTATAGGGCTGGGGATTTAGCTCAGTGGTTCCGCCGTCTGCCCTGCAAGTGCAAGGACCCAAATTCGATCCCCATTACCAAAAAAAAAAGAAAAAAAGAATTTATGCTTTTAAAAATAGTACATTCTCAGCCAAGTGTGGTGGTGCACGCCTGCAATCCCAGCACTCGGGATGCTGAGGTAGGAGAATCCCTGTGAGTTTGAGACCAGCCTCTGCTACACAATGAGTTCAAGACCAGCCAGAACTACAAAGTGAGACCCTGTCTCAAAAAATAAACAACTACATCCTCAGAATTAGAAATTATATAGAAGTGAGAATCAGTAAGAAAAATCCCATTCAAATCATTAGCATGACTAACACATAACAGTTGTCTGAATTAGAGAGGTGTGCATGCATGCCTGGGTTTAGGACTTTGAATTTGCTTACTCTAAAAAGGATTTGGAAAAAAACAGGAAGTGATACAAAACACTGCTTCTTTTGACCACAAATACATCAAAAAGTAATGTGAGAATGTGTACAATCTATAATTGAAAATGTGCAAAACTGAAATAATGTGACAGAATCTGACCTGTAGTGATAGTCAGCTCGAACACAGAGTTTCCATTCTCGATGAGAAACCCACCATTCTTCTTTCCACCCTTCAAAGACCTTCTGTAGTATTTTCTGCTCATAGTAAAACCTAAAGTAACAGAATAAAACAGAGCTAAATATGATGAAGGTGCTGCTGATACCTATTTCCAAATCAGTTTCACATTGTCCTCGTTTGTCAATAAAAATAAACATCAGGGCCGGGGATTTAGCTCAGTGGTGCTGCTGGCTGCCTCGCAAGCACAAGTTCCTGAGTTCAATCCCCAGTACCAAAAAAAATAAACACCAAATTATATTAAAAATAGACATATTTAACTTTTTCAGATCAGAAATTTAGAAATATGTGGCCAAAGGTGGTGGCATATGTCTACAATCCCAACATTCTGGGAAGCTGAGGCAGAAGAATCCCAAATTCGAGTTCACCCTAGGCAATTTTGGTGACTTAACAAGACCCTGTCTTACAATTTTAAAAAGTTTAAAAGGGTTGGGGATGTAGCTCAGTGCAAAAGCCCTAGGTTCAATCCCTGGTACTGTAAAACAAGCAAACAAATGAACAAACAAAAAACTTAGAACTACTTAAATTAAAAATGAGGGACCAGGGATTTAGCTCAGTGGTTTCGCCGCCTGCCGTGCAAGCGCAAGGACTCGAGTTCCATCCCCAGTACCAAAAAAAAAAAAAAAATTAGGCTGAAAACATTTATGCTATAGATTTTACCAATTAAAAGTGCCATCTTACTTTCCAAGTACCATAATTGAACTAAGAATTTTTATTTTCAACTTTTTTAATTCATCAAACTAAAAAGTATTTTTTATTATTAAAAAGGGGTAGCTGGGCCAGGGATTTAGCTCAGTGGTTCTGCCACCAGGCTCGCAAATGCAAGGTCCGGAGTTCAATCCCCAGTACCAAAAAAAAAGTGGTAGCTATTTCTCACTTATGGAATAGGAGATTAAAGTTATAAACAAGTAGATGCCAAGAACACAGATACTGCTTTAACTAAAATTCCACCAGAGGTATTATAACAGCAGCAAAAAACAGGTAAGAGAAAATAAAGAAGGGAAAAATGTTATAATGAAGAAAACAGAAGAGTAGTACCAGTGTTGATGTTAAGAAAGCACTGCCAAGATGACTGGTAACTCAAGAGTACTGAGCCAGGCATGATGGGACACACCTGTAATCCCAGCACTTAGGAGGCTGAGGCAGGAAGATCACTGTGAGTTCAAGGCCAGCTTGGGCTACATAATGAGTTCAAGGTCAGTATGAACTACATAGCGAGACCCTGTCTTCCTCACCCCTCAAAACAGAATACTGGTCCTGTCAATTATGTCTAAGTTCTTTTCCTGGTTCTGCAGGTTACACCTATTTAGTTTTTTTGTTTTTGGTACTGGAGATCGAACTCAGGACCTTGCGCTTACGAGGCAGGTGCAGTGCCACTGAGCTAAATCCCCAGCCCCCTTCTTAGTTTTTTAAAAACAGCTTACATAGGGTGGGGGATTTAGCTCAGTGGTGCCACACCTGTCTCACAAGCGCAAGGTCCTGAGTTCAATCCCCAGTACTGCAAAAAAAAAAAAAAAAAAAACCCAAAAAACTTACAGAGCTATTCATAAGGAAATTTGCCTCACTATTGTTCATAATTTTTTAAAAAATAAAGCAAAACATCACAAATGCCCATCAAAGGAGGTAAGTTTAAAGTAATTCAATCAATGCCATGCCAAGTTTTTATGAAGTAAACCAAGGCTACTGAAATGGACAGATGCCCCAGAAAAGCTGTTAGGTAAAAAAAAAAAAAAATTACTGAATAGTATACAAAATATACTATATTTTAATTAATGTTTATTAATACTGTCATAGCTCAGCATCCATTTGTCAGAACATATATATACATACATGCATATACATATGCATACATACATGGATGTGTGGGTGCATATGTAAATGATTAAATTATACATACCAAAAGCCTGGAAAGAACTCCAGAATACCAAGCTATTAGTTGTTCTATCTCAGGTAGAGATTATAGGGGACTTGTGTCTCCTAAATTGTATGTTCCTGTAATGTCTGAAAAGGTTTTAACAACAGATTTGTTTATAATTTTTTAAAGAAAAGAATCATGGGCCGGGGATTTAGCTCAGTGGCGTGCCTCACCTGCCTCACAAGCACAAGGTCCTGAGTTGCATCCCAGTACCAAAAAAAGGCAAAAAGAATTGTGTGCAGATGGTAACATGAATAAATCCACCTGACACCTTCCCCTCTCAAAATTCCACTAAAATAACAGCTAATACATTTCAAAAGACATACCCACAAAAACAGAGAATAAGAGATAGGATGATAGATGTAATGTCAACAATGTTTAGGTGATGAAAAGCAGGTAGGTGACGGGCAACTGAAATCAGAGAAGGCAGAGAACTAAGTGTTCTGGAGAGAAGTAAAAAAACCCCAACCACCTAGTGGCACAAACCCCAAAACATGGTGGGATGTGAGACATCAGGAACAGGGGAGTCCTAGGTAGAGATGAAGACAAAAGATTGTGTCAGAAGTGGTTAGGGCCCTGATTTCATCTTTCACCCAAGCAAGCAGAGACTGACCTCTCTCTGGAAAGGCTGAACTGCAGGGGCACTGGACTCTAGACTACAAATCTTTGGAGATAGCCTTAAACTGAGTGCTGGCATACTTAACAGACTCTGCTCCCTTTCCCTGCTTACTTCAAACCCACCTCACACCCATTCTTCTTCAAACCCTAGGGGAAACTGGTCAACTAAGGGAAAAGGCTTTCAGAGATGCAGACAGCTGGAGGTTGCCCAGTGAAATTGTCTGATGCCTGCCCCCAAGACCTACAGTGAAGTCCTTGTTTTATTAGTCCCTGTGTATATCAAACCTTCAAAATTAGGTTTTTAGCGCCTCTTAAACATGAAAAGACAACACAGAATCTCTTGATACTTGAGGGAAGGCTCTAAGATGAGACAGTGAGCAAAAGCATAAAGAAAAACGGACCCTAGGAGAATTAGACAATGTGAGCAAACCAAAATCCTAAAATAAACAAACTATGACATTATCCTCAAAAATTAGATTGTAGGATGCTATTTTTTTAAAAAAAAGGAATAGTCAAAGAACAAGAAAGAGCTCTTGGAAATTTAAAATAAGACAGCAGAAATTTTTTCTTGTCCCTTCCTTTCTCCCTCTCTCCTTTGTTCCCCTTCCCAATGTTTTAAAATCAAGACAGGTTAAGCAAAAAGTTCACTGTTCTTGTAGGCCACAGGAAGGACTGAGGCTTTTATTTTCAGCAGGCAGCCACTGGAAGTTTGAGCAGAATGATGTGGTTTCCTCAGATGATCTACTGAGAAGAGACTGAGTAGGGGAAGAGCTGGAAGCATGAGACTGCTGAAGAGGTGACTGGGTCATTCAGGGGGAGAAATGATCACTGCTTGGACCAGGGCAACCAAGGGGAAAGTAATGAAGAGAGGTTGGATTGTGAATACTTTTTTTTTTTGGTACCTGGGATTGAACTTGAGACCTCATGCTTGCTAGGCAGGTGCAGCGCCACTGAGCTACATCCCTGGCCCTGTGAATACATTTTGAAGGTTGCAGCAACATGATTTTGGCATCTGGTATTTTAAACTGAGTTAGGAACAAGAAGCATTAAGGATGACTTCCAAGTTTCTGACTGGAGTACCCTGCAAGGATAGGAGTTAGTTTCTACTAACTGCGGTGGGAAGATATACGCAAAAGGTCAAGATTTCAGCTTTGGATTTATTAAGCTCAAGACAGAGGTCTAGGCTTGGTGTATATGGTGTATATATTTGGGACTCACTTGGGATTTGATGAGATTACTATGGTTGCAAGGGACAGAGAAGCAATGGAGGGAGTGAAGTGTGGGTATATTTCAACAGGGAGGAGGCAACAAGGTAGAGCTGAAAAAAGCAGTCAAACAAGTAGATGAAAAACTGTGGGACAATGGTAACCTAGAAATTGGGAGAACTTTTTTTCCCCCTCAGTACTGAAGGAATTGAATTAAATTCAAGCCAGATCCAAGCCCGGGAACACTGAGCTACAATGCTTTTATTTTTATTTTGAGACAGCTCTCAGTTGCTCAGGCTGGCCTCAAATTTGTGGATCCTCCTACATCAGCCTTCCAAGTGGCTGAGATTATAGGCATGAACCACTGTGTCTAATAGAAAGGACTTATTGACTATAGGAATGATGGTGCTATGGTTTGGGTAAGTCTGTATAGATGCAGTATTAAAGCATTGGTAGCCAGCTTGTAGTGCTATTGGGAGGTGGTGGAGCGTTTAAGAAGTGAAGCCTAAGGGCAGGGGATTTAGCTCAGTGGCACTGCGCCAGCCTTGCAGTGCAAGGTCCCGAGTTTGATCCCCAACTGGTGATATGTGTGTGTGTGTGTGTGTGTGTGTGTGTGTGTGTGAAGCCTAGAGGAATGAAGTTATGTCACTACAGCACTACAAGCATGCCTGTGAAGGGGATACTGACCTTATCTTTGATGGGCCAAACACCTTCATTGGAAGAAAGTCTCTTTAATAAATGGTGCTGAAAAAACTGGCTTTCCACATGCCAAAGATTAAAACTAGACCTATATCTTTCACCATGCACTAAAATCCAGATGGATTAAAGATCTAAATATTAAAACATAAACACTACATCTGCTGGAAGAGAATATAGAACTCTTGAAGACACAGGTATAGGCAAAGACTATGAACAAAACCCCAATTGCACAGGAAATATCACAATCAACAACTGGAATCTCATTAAAAAGCTTTTGCACAGCAAGAGAAACCACCAACAGAGTGAAGAGACAACCCACAGTGTTGGAAAATTATTTTACCAGCTATTCATCAGACAGAGGACTACTATCTAGAATATATAAAGAACTAAAAAAAACTTCCCAAATTTAAACACCCAATCCAAAAATGGGCATCTGAAACGAACAGACACTTCTAGATGAAGAAGTACAAACAGCAAATACATATATGTAAAAATGTTCAACATCACTGGTCATTCGTGAAATGCAAATTAAAACACTAAGATTCCATTGCACTCCAGAAAGAATGGCAGTTATCAAGAAATCAACCAATAACAAATGCTTGCAGGGCTGTGAGGAAAAAGGAACTCTTCTCCACTGTTGGAGGGAGTGTAGAATGGTGCAACCACTGTGGAAATCAGCGTGGAGAGTCCTCAAAATACTAAAACTAGAGATTTCATTTGACCCAGCATTCTCCTTCTTAGTATCTTCCCAAAAGAATTAAAAGCATCTTGGGTCGGGGATTTAGCTCAGTGGTTCTGCTGCCCACCCTGCAAGCACAAGGACCCAAGTTCGAGCCCCGGTACCAAAAAAAAAAAAAAAAAAAAGAATTAAAAGCATCTTGTCACAGTGATATATGCACACCCATGTTTTTTTTTGGTACCGGGGATTGAACTCGGGTCCTCGCGCTTTCGAGGCAGGCAGCAGAACCACTGAGCTAAATCCCCAGCCACACCCATGTTTATAGTACACAGTTTGTAATAGCTAAATCTTGGAAATAGCCCAAATGTCTATCAACCAACAAATGGATAAAGATGATGTGGTTTTTTTATACAATGGAGTACTACTCTGCCATTGAGAAGGATGAATTTGAGACATTTATAGCTAAATGGATGCACCTTGAGACCTTAAGTGAAATAACACATGTTTAAATACCGCGTTGTTTCTCTGGTGTGAGAAACCAAAAGTAGAATTAAGGACTAAAACGTATAACAGATACTGGGAAATGGGAAGAAAATGTTCATATGGGAAGAGAAACGGGGGGGGGGCGAAAAGAAGGGACAAGAAAAACAATTAAAAATAGAAGAAAAAGAAAAAAGAAATGTAATAATAAGAAAACAAAAAGCACCAGAGGACCTGAAAGGGTAAATAAGTGAATAAATCCACATAAACACTGAATGTACAAAATTAAAATGTTTTATAGATTTAAAATTTTTAAAAATTACCCTTTCCTTTCCTAATAGGACAGTGGTTTATCAAATCTCTTTTCCATGAAATAATGTTATGTTGGTAGTTACAGCTATATATTACATTCTTTAGTGCAGTGAGTAAAAGTCTATATAACTTCTCAGCTCCACTGAATTAAAAAAACAATAAGACTTTCAATAATGGCAAATTAGGCAATCTGGATCAACTCTCCCAGCAAATAAGAAAAGTAGGACCAAAAAATAATTGTTTTCTTCAGTGCTGGGGATTGAACACAAGGTCTCACACATGGCAACCATGTGCTCTACCACTGAGCTATACTTCCCCCTCCTAAAAATCCACCTGAGGCACTGGGAGGTAGCCAGGCACTGAAGCACAGGGCCAAGGCCCAGGAGGAGATGCCAAAGCAGAGAAGGGAGGGATGGCTAAGACCTGTAAGCTGGACTGCACTGCTGCCACTGTAGCAGGTCACTGCAGACACACAAAGAAGGATAAAGAAGCTCGGAGTGGTGGTACATCCTTGTAATCCCAGCAGTCTGCAAGGCTGAGGCAGGAGGATCACTAGTTCAAGCCCAGCCTGGACAACTTAACAACTTACCGAGACCTAGTCTCAAAAAATAAAAATGATCTGGGGATACATACAGCAAAGGCCCTGGGTTCAATTCTCAGTACTAAAAAAAAAAAAAAAAAAAAAGTGGGGAGTAAAGGAACAGCACACCACCTCACAAAGCACACAAAGTAAAGATTTTAGGGGACTAGAATACAGGTCAGCAATAGAGTTCTTGACTATCAAGTGTGAGGCACTGGGTTCAATATCTTGAACCACAAAAAAAAATGTCATAAAACAGAGACCAACAAGAATTATGAAAAAGAAAAAGTGTAGAAGAGAAGGTAAAGAGAAAGGGAAGAACTTCCCATGACATTTCAGTTTCTCAATGGCTGCCAATTCTCCCTCTGAAACATATTCTGCATGTGCCCCACTGCCTCCTGCTCAGTGCTCCTCACTCCTGTGACTCCCTCCTCTCCAAAAGACCTCAAAGCAATTGGAACAAAAAAAATGCAGCAGTGGGTGGTGGAGGTCTATACAAAGTATAAGAACATAAATGCATATAGTGTACTATATATACATATATGAGTATAAAGTATAGAATATGGCAGAGAGATTTGCTCCTCACTAAAATTTCACTTTTTGCTAATGCCAGTTTTTTTCCCTAGATCAAGTCAATCTGTCCATCTCACCAATGCCCTGAATGAACTCATTCACTTCTAGGGAATCCTTTTTTCCCAGAGAGCTCTTAACTCTCCTGGTTTAGTTACCTATGACTTTTTCATATATTCATCCAATGGTCATAAAATTACCAATACGTTACATAGTTATATTAAGTACTGTCCCTACCTGATGGAGGCTGGAAAGACAAGGGGAGGAATGTATTAACACATGCCATAATAACGGTTATGCAGGTGCTTAATATAAAACAAAAACTCAGAATGAGCTCAGAAGAAATTTGGTATTCTGAGCTAATATTACCTGGCTTTAGAAGGAAATATTCTTCCAAAAGTCATTCGAATCCACAAATACAAGAATTTTCTGGCCATGCATCTGAAAGAGAGAGCCAGAGAGAGAGCCGGGCGGCGGGGGGGCGGTTATATACATCTTAAAACTCCACTTCAGGGCTGGGGCTGTAGCTCAGTGGCACTGCACCTGCCTAAAATTGCTGACAAATGTCTACTTATCCCAGATCCTTCCCAGCCCAATGAGAATGATGAGCTGTGTACTCTCAGCACTCCATCAAAGCCCTTATGTAACATTAGGACACCAAAGCAGTCATTGGCTCTCATGCTATCTATCATTCCCTCTATAATGTGAACCACTCAGTGCAGGGACCATGTCTAATAGTATCCTTAGTACTCAGCACAGTGCCTAGTATACACACACACATACACACACAAATGGATTTGTTCAATCAGTCTCTGGGCTCCACGGGGAATAATTTCCTTTTGTCCTTTACCTGGCTTATTCTTATGTCATCCTTTAGGAGTTGACTTAAACATCACTTTTCCAGAAAGTCACTGCTGGGTCCACCAGTGTGGACTATGTTCTCCTTATAGCACTTACCCCGCTTTACTGTTGTGGCTTAATAGTCTATTGAGTCTAACTGATTTTATTTTTTAATTTTTTTTTTTGGTGCCGGGGATCAAACTTGGGACCTTGTGCTTTCAAGGCAGGTAGCAGAACCACTGAGCTAAATCCCCGGGGAGCCTAACTGATTTTAAACTTTCATGAGGTCATGGACCAATACTGTTTGATTCAACTTATATGCTAAGCATATATAAGCTGGCAGAGTAGGCATCTGATAAACTTTTGTTGAATGGATGATCATTTTGCTTGGACCATGTTAAGACTTTTTCTGGAAGAATCTTTATAGCTTACACTTTGTGGGGCACAACTGGAGAACACAAATGAAACACTCAATGATAGATTTTGTCTTCAGATTCCCAAATATTCTTTTTATTTGAATACTGTTATAAAAAAAGAGCATTGGGCTGGGGATCTAGCTCAGCGGTTCTGCCGCCTGCCTCACAAGCACAAGGTCCCGAGTTTGATCCCCAGTACAAAAAAAAAAAGAGCACCAAATTCCCCAATTAACTGACATAGGATAATAACTACTATTCCCCCATTTTAGCCAAGATGCTCACCTGATGTGCAATTCTCTTAACCGACCTCTTCTGGTCCCAGTATGTGAGGTGCCACATTTCACTGGACAGGTAGTTCTTGGGACTCTCCCAGACAAGGCAGAAGACTTTTTCTTGGGCAGTGCCTTTGGAGAACAAGGTTTCTTCACCTCATCATCCCTGAAAGACCTCAAATTTGAAGAGTAGAGAGAAAAGGAAAGAAAAAAAAAGAATATCTCTGCATGCAATGCCAATACCTATTAACAAATAAGCAACATTAAACAGATAAGCTCAATGAAACAGAAAATGATTATGCTCGAGAGCAATGGGCATTCCAATTTGTAACAGAAATACTTGCAGTCACTAGAGGTGGGTCTCACTCTAGGAACTACAGCAGGATAGGCTGGAGTAATTAGGCCTAACACACACTCTATGTTTTTCTTCTTTAATATGTAATTTTAAAGGAAATCATTTACAAATTGGAAACTGGTTCCTTTATATAAAAAAATTAGGAAAGATTTTCAATAATATGACTTTGAGGGCCCAGGATTTAGCTCAGTGGCACCGTGTCTGCCTTGCAAATGCAAGGTCCTGAGTTTAATCCCCGGTACCAAAAAAACATAATATCATCTTGATATCAATATGAAAGCACAAACTTTTACTGTACATTGAATTGATGACATTTAATTCCATCTCAGAAACACTAAGAAATTACCTTCCTATAAAAGCAAAAAGCAGAGGTACATCCCATGGTATTGGATTGGAAATAGTTATTTATATAAACATGATTTTAAAAAAATGTCTGAGTTCTACCCCCAAGAAATACCTAGAAGCAAAAAAAAAAGAAAAGAAAAGAAAAGAAAAGAAATACCTAGAAGCAATGACATCTCATTAATAAAAAGTATACCTAGGGCCAAGGATTTAGCTCTGATTCCGCCACCTGCCTCACAAGCATAAGGTCCAGAGTTTAATGGCCAGTACCAAAAAAAAAAAAAAAAAGAAAAACTTGGAACAAAAAAATATACCTAGAGAACAAATTTTGTTGTAAAATAACATTCCAGAGCCAGGGGTGATGGTGCATACCAGTAGTCCCAGCAGTCTGGAGGCTGAGGCAGAAGGATTACTGTGTGTTCAAGGCCAGCCTGAACTACATAGGGAAACGTCCCAAAAACAAACAAACAAAAAATTTTAAAAATAAAATTCCCTATTAAAAGGATTCAAAGTTCCTTGGAGAAATAGTTGATTTCCAGATGTGGGATAAAGGAAATATAAGGGCCGGGGATTTAGCTCAGTGGTTTTGTCACCTGCTGCGCAAGTGGCAAGGACCAAATTCGATCCCCGGTACCAAAAAAAAAGGAAATATAAGATAAGCCTGGAAGCCTGGAATATTTTATTGCATAAAAAAAAACAAAGTCAGTATTCAAAGAATGCTGTCAAAAGGACACAGGAATTATCCTGAAAGAACTCCCACAGGCCAAATCCGTAAATAGCTTGAATAATAGATTAAAACCCAATGATAAAATAGAAATCCATAGGTACATACTAATATAAGTAAAAAAATGAGTAAGTAATTATGTAGAGGCGAATAGAAAGCTCTACTTTATAGCAGAATGCTGACTAATCAGCTCAGAAGGAAAGAATTAGAAAATCATCATTTAGGAACCATGAGAGTTTGACAAAAATCATCAATGGGTGTAAAACAAGTGCAAGCTAGTTTAGTAAGGAATAGGACATTAACATAGTCCCAAGAAATATCTCCCCACAAAAATATTTACTACTTTATAATGGAGAAATAGCACACACCACCTAACCAAGTGATAAAAGTTAGCATCGTCAATAAACGGAATCAATTAACATGATGTATTTCTTGATAATGGAATCAATTAACATGATGTATTTCCTGATGTGGTACACTGAGGACACAGGATCACTTCTCTGGTTATTCCTGGCTAAAATACATAACCTGAATAATAATAATGAAGAAACCCAACTTGAGAAATATTCTCAAAATATAAGTGGTCTGAACTCTTCAAAAATGTCTAGGCCCTGAAAGATAAGGAAACATTAAGAGTTCCAAATTGAAGAGGATTGTTAAGGTTTACATCTTAAATGTTCCCCCAAAACTCTCAAGTGTTAAGGACTTTGTCATCAGCTGATGACACTATTGAGAGAAGGTGGAAACTTTAGGAAGTGGGGTCTAGTTGGAGGAAGTTAGGTCACTGGGGGTGTGCCCCTGAAGGGTACCCGGGGCCCTGGATCCTCCTCCTTTTTGCTTTTGGATGCCATGGCATAAGCAGCTCCTGTTCTCCACTGTGATGTTCTGCCTAGGCCCCAAAACAAGGAAGGCAATGGGGCCATGAAATGAAATCTCTGAAATCATCAATCAAAAATAAATCTTTCCTGGGCTGGGGATTTAGCTCAGTGGTGCCTCCGCCTGCCTTGAAAGCAAAATCCCTGGTAACAAAAAAATTAATTAATTAAATCTTTCCCCCTTTATGTTTTTTTTGTGTGTGTAATACCAGGGATCGAACTCAGGGGCATGGTGCCACTTAGCTACATCTACAGCCCCATCTTTCCCCCTTTATGTTTTTTTTGTGTGTGTAATACCAGGGATCGAACTCAGGGGCATGGTGCCACTTAGCTACATCTACAGCCCCATCTTTCCCCCTTTATGTTGATTTTCTCAGGTTTTTTTGTAACACTAACAGAAAGCTAACAGAAACTAAAAAGACAAAATGCAATGTGTGGTTCTGGATTGAATGTGAAACCAGAAAGGAAAGGGGTAGAAAGGGAAGTTTTTCTCATGTTTGGTTGTTTTACTTTTCCATATACCCATATGTAAATATCCATTTATTTGCATTAGTTATATCCTATAAAGTCACAACAAACACTGTAGGAAATAATCATTGCTGTTGGGAAAAATACAGAATTCCCCATCTCTACTCCCCCACAGATGTATATATTAGAACAACTAATTATATGTAAAGAGATAAAAGTTGTCTGGCATGGTGGTGCACACCTGTAATCCCTGCACTTGGGGGGCTAAGGCAGGGGCATTGCCATGAGTTTGAGGCCAGCCTGAATTATAGAGTGAGAACCTGTCTCAAAAAAATAAATAAATAAATAAATAAATAAAAGTCAAGTTTGAACATATCTGCAAAGCAAGGACAACCATAAAAGGTAGGTGGCCAGGTGCTGTGTTACATGCCTATAGTTCAGCTACTCAGAAGGCTGAGGCCAGCGAATCATTCAAGCCTAGGTGTTCAAGGCCAGCCTGGAAAATCCTACAAGACTCTGTATGAAAAAATGTAAAATAAGGGCATTACTCAATAGCCAAAATTTGGAAATAACCCAAATGTCCATGACAGGTGAATGGATATGAAGAAAATGTGGTATTTACACACAATGGAGTACTACTGTACGATGATGAACTTGAGCCATTTGTAGAAAAATGCATGCACCTTGAGACCATAATGTTTTTTTGTTTTGTTTTGTTTTGTTAAATGCTTTTATTGGTACATTGTAGGTATACAACACAATTACATTTCTCATTGGGAATTGTACCTTTACATAATGCATCTTGGTTCTTATTTTTTCCCCGAGACCATAATGTTA